CCATCTTCTGGTATCCTCGTCAATTTCTTTCTTGTAAGACTTGAAGATTTTGTCAAACAAGTCATTCACTTGTTTGGTTAGAGTTACCCTAAGATATTCCTCATTATTTGTGGCTATTATGAAGGGTGTTGTTACCCTGATTTCTTTCTCAGCCACTTTTTCATTTGTATATAGTAGGGCTACTGATTTTTTTTTTAAAGTTAATCTTATCTCTAGCCACTTAACTGAAGATGTTTACCAATGGTAGAGTTCACTGGCGAATTTTGGGATTGCTTATGTTATTATCATATCATGTATATCTGCAAATAATGATACTTTCACTTCTTCCTTTCCTATTTGTATCCTCTTGGTCTCCTTTTGTTGTCTTATTGCTCTAGGTAGAGAGTGGACAGTCTTGTCTTGTTACTGATATTAGTGGAATTGCTTTGAGTTTCTCTCCATTTAATTTGATCTTGGCTATTGGGTTGCTGCAAATTACCTTTATTATGTTTAGGTATGTTCCTTTTACTCTTATTTCTCCAAGACCTTCATTGTGAAGGAGGTATTGGATTTTGTCAAAGGCTTTTTCAGCATCTAATGATATTCACCTTTTTCTTCAGTTTATGTGATGGATTACATTGATAGATTTTCACATGTTGAACCATCTTTGTATCTCTGTGATGAACCCTACTTGGTCATGATGGATGACCTTTTAATGTGTTCTTGGATTCAGTTTGCCAGTATTATATTGAGTGTTTTTGCATCAATGTTCACGAGGGAAACTGGTCTATAATTCTCTTTGTTGATCTTTGTGCAGTTTAGGTATCTGTGGGTAACTGTGGCCCTACAAAATGAATTTGACAATGTTCCTTATATTTTTATTTTATGGAATGTTTTGAGGAGTTTTGGCATTAGCTCTTCTTTGAAAGTCTGGTAGAATTTTGTGCCCTGGGCTTTTTTTGGTTGAGACGCTTTAGTCTGTTTAAATTATCTGTTCTTGATTTAACTTTGCTAAGTGGTTTCTATTGAAAAAAATTATCCATTTCTTTTACATTTTGCAAAATGTGGGGATAGACTTGTCCTTCCTTAAGTTAGGAAATTTTTCTTGTGTGACTTTGTTAAAAATATTTTCTGAGCCTTTGAGCTGGGATTCTTTTCCTTCTATTCCTATCATTTGTAAGTTTTTTCTTTTCATAGTGTCCCAGATTTCATGTATGTTCTGTGTTGGGAATATTTTTAGATTTAATATTTTCTTTGACTATCGATTTCTTCTATTTTATCTTGAATGCATGAGATTCTGTCTTCTATCTCTCCTACTCTGTTGGTAAGGCTTTGCTTTGTATTTCCCATATTGCCTATCTGGAGTTCTGGAGGTTGGTGTGGTCTCTGGTGTAGCAAGGAAGTCTCTGCCTGAGTCCTCCTATCTGTTCTGACATGGCCTGTACCTTCACTTGTCATGGCCTTTAGTTGCGTAGCAATATCTGCCCAAAGTAGGGGTGGGAGCATGGCAGTGAGGCCACCTTCCTTTCAAAAAGAAAAGGTTAATGATAACAAAGACAGGACAATACAACAGGACAAAACATGCAAAAATCAACAAATCAGCCAATGCCAAAGCTTCTGCAAAGCAAAGAAGATAACAAAGAGAAAGCCTGCAGAGTGTGAGAGATCTTCACCAGCTTTCCTGCCAAGACAGTATTAATACCCACAACACAAACAGAAATCAACACTAACAGAACAAGGAAAGCAATCAGCAAGCAGGCTATAAACTGCAGAGGTGGCTCAAAGAACAATCTACACTAGGGAAATGCAAATCAAAATTACATTGAGATCCCGTCTCTTCTAGTCAGATAATTTTAATCAAGAAGACGGAAAAAAAAAAATAGTGAGGGAAAAGGATTTTCTATATAATGTTAGAAGAAAGATTTTTTTGTTGCTGTTTTTTTCAAGAACTCACTCTGTAGACCAGGTTGGCCTTGGACTCACAGAGATCCGCCTGCCTCAGCCTCCCAAGTGCTGGGATTAAAGACATGCACCACCACGGCACAGCTAGAAAGCTAACTTAATATTGTCACTAAGGAAAACAGTCCAGAGGTTCTCCCAAACTAAAACCAGCATCACTATATGATCCAGGTATGCTATTCTTTCCCATTCAAACCCTTAACTTACACAATTCAAAACTTGATAGGAAATGGTCCTTCTGTACATTACAAACACCATTAGATACAGAGCCAACTTTTCTAAACAGCTCGGGGGCATGAATCATGTGCTGTGCATGCTACAAGTATCCTAACACCAAGCTAGCATCTGCAGCCCCTTTCATTCAGTTCTGAGCCACAGTGTGAGTGGAACCTGGTGCCAAATCCCAGGAGTGGAGATGGCCATCACAGCTAGCTCAAAGTCCTGTGTTTGCTTGGTTCTGTAAAACACACCCTCTGGAAAATTCTCTTTAAGTCCACACAGAGGGAGCAGTGAGAAAAGCTGAAGTGCTGCCACAAACTCAACTATTTACAGACCCTACACCATGAGCCGATTGCAATCTCTTCAGGGTGGCCGTGGCAGATGGAAGCAGTAAATACATCTGCTGGAAAAGGCAACACCAACTTCTCTGTGTTGGGATAACCTGTTGAGAGATACTGCAAGTAACAGTATAATGCAAATACAGTTATTTTGGTATACTATGGCTCAATGCACACTTCTGACTGACATCCTGGGCTTTCTACTCAAGTGTGACTGTTTCATTGTTCTTACTTGGCCTGTGGTAGATGGATTCCTGGCTTCTGAACAGCCATTGTACCGACTTTGAGGAGTCACACTGCAAATGATCAATTTTGGGTAGATGGGGTGTGAACTGCAATGCACAACCCTATCTGAGTTAAGGGCATTTCTCTGCACTCCAGTTGTACTTCTCAAATTGACTTCAGAAACTTAATCTGACAAGTGATAATTGGATTGGATGAACTCAGGAATGTTCACGCCTTCCAACTATAATGTTCCTCACATCCCCTATTTTGTGAAATGAAAATAAAATCTCTTCACAAAGAGGTGTGAAGGTATCCCCTTGCAAATGCTGCATATGTCTCCTCCCCTGTCTAATTAAGAAGCTTCAAGAGTGGTCCAGACACAGATTTCTGCATCCTGACTCCATTGCGATCTAAGCACTCTCCTTTTCATAACCAGTAGGAACCAGGAAGCAGAATGAGAAAAAGGAAGAGCAAAGAGTAAAGATCTTATTCCTTCTTTCTCACTTCTCAGAACAGCAACTCCAGTTCTTTCTAAGATCTTCTAGAACATATGCATCCCCCTAGCATAAATTAGTATCTTCATGGCTGCTAGGTGAAAAGAGGATTTAACTTATGTCATGTTTATTTCAATTTCAGATAGATACCTTAGTTTTGTTTTTCTTTACCAATTAAGATAAAAGTTGCATGTGATAAAATAGAACTATTTTAAGTGCCCATTCAGCTGAGTTTTGAAACGGTACAGTCATGTGACCACCATCATTGTTAAGACATCTGAAACATTGTCATCCCCACAGAAGTGCCCACATTCCTCAGACCTCCACAACCATTGATTCTCTTTCTGGAACTACAGATTGGAATTCTACATAGGTGGAAACAATAGACGTATACACTGTTACATTCATTCACTGCTGTCCTGAGATCTGTCTATACAGCTGAGTCAGTTTAGCATTCTAGTACTCATCTGTTTTCACTGGCAAGTAGTTACTGTACAAATTCCTATACAAATCATTCTGTGCACATTTTTCCTTCTCTTAGATAATATGTATGTGTGTATGTATGTATCTAGAAATTGAGTGGCCATGTCATAGACCTATGTGTATTTCTATTTCTCTCTCTCTCTGTGTGTGTGTGTGTGAGAAAGAGAGAGATATTGAGTCTCTGTGTACATGTTCATGTACATGCGGGTATGTGTACACATATGCGTGAGTATGTGCAGAGGCCAGAAGCTGCTGTTGGATGTATTTCTTTATTGTTCTATACTATTTTTTGAGACAGGGTCTCACACTCAACCTGGAACTCATGCAAACCCAGCAAGTCCCAGGGATCCTCTAGCTCTGCCTCCCCATCACTACAATTAATGACACATGCCACTATGGCAGGCTTTTTCTGTTTACATATTTGTATATAATGAAATATGATCATATATATTCACCTTTCTTTCCTTCTAATCTTCCTTTCTCTCTCTTAAATTCATACCCACAAAGTTCAATTGACATTGCTCATATGATCATCAGAAACCCTGTCATTAGACCGAGATCCTTACACAGAGTCACGTCAGATCCCAGGTACGAGGGTATCCAATGTGCCTGGAAAGGCAGATAGGTACTAGTTGGAAGCTTTGACAGAAATGTCTAGTGCACAGTGGGCATAAGCTCACACAAATTCCCAGAAGCTCCAAGTACGACTAAGTATTAACTAAATGAAATAAAGTTAGCTTATAAAAACATAACTATCTCAGAATCCATGGGGGGCAGGGAGGAGAGGATCAGCTTTGCTTTCTTCTCAGGAAGAAGAATCTGAACAGATTACATCAATGATAATCAGATCACAGGAAAGAGAGGAGACGGACTTGTTCTGATTATGTTTTATATAACAGTGTGTTACAGTGTCCCCTTAAAGCGTCTACAAGGCAGATAATCATGGCATGAAATTTAAACGAATACATGAAATTCACAGTGCATGCGGAACAGTCTCATTATTCCAAGAAGCGATTGTGAGATTTTAAGAATGCACGAGCACACTGGAGAGTTACTTTCAGACCCCAGATTCACAAGTCCCTCTCGTATCTTTCTGTGGTCCCACTCCTCTCCAGACTAAACAACCATCCTCCTCTGCCACAGAATCCCATGAAAGTACCTGCCAGTGTGTTCATACCAAAAATTAGAAGAAGGTTATCTGATCTCAGAGCCTTAAAATCTGTGCTACTTCCTATACTTGCCTGAAGTCATAATGGCACCCTTACCCAGACACTTAGGAAGTTAGTGTTACTATGAACAATACCTGGTTCCAATATCAAGCCAGCTGCCAGAATCCTTGACCAAGAAGAAAAAATGCTGTAAAAGATAATACAGTACGACTCCATTAAAAACAAAGACTATTTAGTTTCAATGTATAAACATCATTTTCTGCCCAGAATCCACAAGAAGATGCCCTTAATTGCAACTTCTGCTTGTATCAAAATAAGCAATGGCCCAAATGCTACAAAAAGGAATTAAGATTCAATCAAAGGAATACAAAGTGATGCTTGTGAGTAGTAAGAAATAAAACCATCCAATTCCAATAAAAATATTAAAAATGTCAAAGATGCAACCAAAGCCACATCACCTGGTTTGCAAACATTCATGGATGCTGTCTATTATGAATCAGTAATAGTCATTACTAGGTTCTATAGATAATGTCCTCACAGGACACATAATCTAGTGATGATTCAAATTATTAGGTGTGTAAACACATGTGTGCACAATTGAACTGAGAGATACAGAAACAGAGGAAGGGGAAATCTAAGTGAAAAGTAGGAATCAGATAAAGACAAAATCGGAGAGGCAGATTAGGAAGTTGCTTCACACCAAGAGCCAGATCAAGTTTAGCAGGTCCAAAGTGATTCTGGTTTAAGGAAAACAAGGAAGGAGGCATGTAAAACCATGCCTGTCAATAAAGCTGTATCAGAAACAGTTTGGCAGCTTAAACTTAGTGACCCGATTGTTCTCACAAAATGAGCCAGAATCCAGAATTTTTCAGTTTCTGTCTATTTGTCATGTTGTGAATGCCAACTTCATTCTAACATTATGTGTGATCAAGCTGAGGAATATACGAGATATTTAGTTAAACAAAACACAAAATGCTCTCATATAATTCAAGTGGCAGCAATCAGATTTGAGAAATTATTTAGTAGATATACAGTCAGGTATTAATTACACCTTTAAAAAAGGCATGTCTCTCAGCTACTGAGAGGTGATTTCTAGGCCTTGGAATGGCTAATGAAGCATTTTGCCTGAGGCACTTATTACCAATCTAAAAATATGATTCATGATGGGAATTTCGAACCACATTGTGTGACTTCTACTTTTGAAAGGACTGAAGATTGATGATCAGTCAGGTATGCCATATTGAACAAAATCCATTTAAAAGGAAAGGAAACCCTGGACTGACAATGTTCAATGTGTATTGTCACACTCTACTGAGGGATAGATAACACTGTTCTCAGTCCATGAAAGGAAACAGGAGAACTCTGCATTCTACTCAGACACACAGAAATTCCTTTGGCTGACTTATTTGTACATAAACTAGAACTAAGAATACAACAGGATTCAGCAAGTTCAGTGATGGCTTCTAGAGAATTACCAAACCAGAGAGTAGGTATGGGAACTCTCCAAATACCCGAAACAGATACATTAGTTTTGTTAATTCATTTTATTCAAGATTATCTAAAAGTTCCTTATTTAGAATTCACTGATTATAGCTATTAACTGATAAAGCTATATTTCCCAATTGATAAAGCTATATTTCATGTTTCCTTCCTTAACTCTCTCCTTTTTTCACCTTTTTAATCTGGAAGGACTGAAAATCAATATTTAGATGAGTGATACAAATCTATGAAAGGTTCATTTCAAACACAAGCTATTCTAGCTTTAAGACCACATGTAAAATGACAGTCTGAATAAGTCAAGTAATAAGAAAAACTCTGACAGCTTAAAGTTTCTGCATTACTAATATAAAAAGTAATATATCTGTGTAGACCGCCATCACTTAGAGCTCAGTATATATATTATAGTAATGTATTCATATTCCTCCCAACTAAATGGACACAGACCTTAGTTTCTCAATGTCTTATACTGATATAAGTAAGTACCTTACCAAAGCCATGATGTCTGATATGACAAGAACAATGAGGAAAAGGCTGAAAAATAAAGGAAAAAATTATATACGATGTAATAGACATACCTTTTAAATACACTGTGAAATGTATTTTTGTGACAAATATCCTCAGGTAACACAGGAAGATAAAAGCAAGAAGAAGAATGGAAGGATGGGCAGCTCGGCTACAGAGGACACCCAGCAGACTCCCCATGACAGAACGTATGTTTGCTGCTTGTTTTATTGCTCACAGCATTCCTAGTCCACCATTTGTCACATAAACTTCAAATTGACATGTTCTTTTATGGCCTCGACCCCAAATGTACAACGCTTTATGATGAGCTTAGTTACGGAGACTGAGGAACAAGACAAATAGATGACAATTAGAAAAGTTTGTTTTAAGACATGTCAGATAATGCTAGCATGGCTTTTCTATCTCACTTTATCTAATACATATTCTAAGGAGTGGGTAAGAAAAAAATGCAGGTAGACCCATCACATTGGTGTGCTACACTCAATTTAAGTCTTGGCAGTGTGAGCATAATAAACAACCAGAATGTAAACAAAGTTCCCTTTATCCCCCAGACTTTTAAAAATTCTAAAATTTTAGCAACAGAAACAAAATGTCTTTGTGAAGACAGAGACAGGAGGGCAAGACTTGAACAAGAGTTAGGCAGCAAATAAGCAACACAGCCTGGCTTCTATGATGGGTTAAGTTAAAAACAAAAGAGATTCAAATCTACTGGAATAACTGAGTATAAGAGATGGCATATTAAACATGAGGAGCTTCTGATACACCAGGGAAATGTCAATGCCTTTCACGGGCTTAAGAGTCAAAAGAGAAGGTTTTTCTTTTAAGCCTTTGATATTGCTACCTCTGGAGTGGGTCTCTGTGTTAAGGATTTCATTGCATTAGTCTCAAGACAGAATTACCACACACGGGCACACAAATACATGTATATAATCACACATGTGTATGAGCTTTCTGTTTTTATCCCATTTCCCCCCTGTTCTTCTTATACAAGACTTAATTAAAATTCCTTCTGGATAGTTTGTCTACTTGCAGAGATGCAGGAAAGCACACGTTATGTTACTAGTTTTTATTGCATCTAAGCAACAGTCAACTGAATGATACTGATAAGGAATACATGTTTTCACTATTAAATTCATATGAATATCCTGAAAGACTATTTTCTTTTGAACTAGAAATAAGATTTTCACTATTTCTAAACAGTAGAAGGAATTTTTTTTAAAAAAAAAATTATGTTGCATACATACTAGAATGCTAAACCGAGTTTTAGCTTAAGCTCATCAAGAAAACATGCTAATTTATGTTAATACTATTCGTCCTTTTAGCAATGACTGTGCCAGCTTGATTCACTTATAAAAGTGCTATTTATAACTGTTTTTCAGAGAATCTCTGTGCTGATGAGGTAATTTTATGGGTTAAAGAAAGCAAAACCTTGGTTAACAACTTCTCTTTCAGAATCTTGAATGCTGAAGACTGCCTGCCCCAGAAATATCTCAAAACTCAGAATCTTCCTGACACATTTCTCAATGTATATTTTTGTAAATTACTGATACACAGAAAAGTTAATGTCAACCCATATAAAATGAAATAGTGTTAATGAATGTGTTTCATATATTTTTAATAAGCCAAAAGAAATTGTAACAATAGCCCTTCTTTTTTGTAGGTGCCATTATAGCTATAACAAATAACTAATTAAAGTATTTAAACTTTATGCTTTTCTAATGTTTTGATGCAGAGAAAGCATATTTATCTGCTAAGAGCCCTACTTAGCCAATTTCCTCTAATAAAAGCTTAAATTTAAAAGTAGAAAATTTTAAAGCAAATAGTTTGTGTTACAAATTTTAAGAGCAATCACATGAAACATCTTCAACTGTTTTCTGACATTTGTGAAAAATGGGGAAACCCAAGGCTTTATAAGATTTATCTTACCCTTTTGATGACAGCTGTGTAGTTATCTGAACTGCTTCAAATGCACACATCACAAGAACAAATGGAATTAAAATCTGTTTCAAAGAACAACAAATGATGTCAATGGTAATATGCACCTGAAACATGTTAGAAGCAAATACTATTATTTCTGCTTATACAGAATGACTTTCAATCTCTCAAATAACATATGCTACCAGTTGAGAGGAAACAGGGATAAAGCATGAAACTTTCACATGGGACATAGAAAAATGATCTAAAACCCAACAATAATACACAAAGAATAACAGCAAACATTAACATGTATTCCAATTAAAATCCTATAAATTTGCCCTATTTGACACATTCTACTGATTCATGACAATGTTCATATTTCCAGGAGCATATGAAAGAGAATCCCTAAAGCAAGGCAACTATGCAGCCTGCTGATGTGATACACGATCGATGGACTTAGCTTATTACGAGATACTACAGCACCGTGAACACAACTCAGCTATTTTACTATTGCTCTTTTGCATTTAAAAATGCTATTTTACTTATGACCACACATTTATACTCAACATAGTACATTTGAGAACATATACAGAAACATAAGATTTTTTTTAGTACCTGAAAGTTCATTGTCTAGATCAGTGGTTCTCACCCTTTCTAATGCTGTGGCCCTTTAATACAGTTCCTCATGTTATGGTGATCCCCAACCATAAAATTATTTCATTACTACTTCATAACTGTAATTTTGCTACTGTTATGAATCATAATGAAATATCTGATATGCAGGAAAGCTGATATGAAACCCCTAAAAGGGGTTGCAATCCATAGGATGAGAACCACCGATCTAGAGACAATATTATCAGTATTTGTGGAGTATTAATTCCCAATAATCAAGTTTTTAATTTTTTTATTCTTTGTACATGCAAACAAGAAAATACAATCACATACACCACCTACTTCTCCCTCCTACTCCCATCTCTCCCAAAATACTAAATTTATATTTCATAAGTTGGGGTGACAATGGAAAAGAAATAATGTTCAAAACTGCGTAAGATTCCTCCCAAAAGGACATGAATAACAAGAGTTCACCATAATACTCGTCAGTTAACATAGTTGTCAAGTGCATTACATTGTTACAGCTTACTGAATTATGACAGAAATTAGAGATCTACTGATGTAATTTGATATTTCTTTAAATTTTAAAGCAGTATCATAATCTTTAGACTGAGCAAAGAAAACCACCACTTAAAAAATGATGATTAAGGAAACAATTCAATAGAAAATAGTGCCTGCCCATTAGAAAATACCAACTGTCTTTTTTACCACTTCTTAAATTACATTTCTATTAATGTAGTAAAAACTTCAGTGCAGTACAAAACCCCTAAAAGAATATATACTTTCAACACTTATTTATGTATCTGAATATTTAAATAAACACATACTAACTACATAAGATGTGCCAAGTACTATACAAGAGAAAACTTAGTAGAAGAAACAGGTAAGTATAACAACAATGATGATGTCAATGAGAAATTTCCCCCACAGACTCATCTCATGTATTTGGACATTTGGTCCCCAGCTGGTGGCACTGTTTGGGAGGTTATGAAATTTATGTGGTCAAGTCCTATAGGAAGGGAAGTTATAAAAAAAAGAAAAGTTTCCTAAAAAATAGGAAACACTATTATGATGGGGGGGAGATTTAGATCTCTGAATGATAATACTATAGACAGTTGAAATTGGAACAATTAAATGAGAGGATAACTTAGATGGGACTTATACAATGGCAATTATAAACATTAATCATTTTTGTTTTACTACTAAAAAAGTTGGTTAATATGAATGCTAAGATACAAGTTTTAAAAAAAACTTAATAAAACAGATTGTCAATTAGCAGGAATAGACCTTCAAGAAATGGTAGTACCTTTTACTAATGATGAAATTGACAAATTATGAACAGACAGTGCACCTTGGCCAAGAGCTTGCAGTAATCATTCGGGAGAGATTAACAAATAATATCCCAAAAGCAAGAGAATTCAATTTATAAAGAGAACTAATTGGATCCCTCCTCACACTGTATGGGAAACACCAATGACTGGAGCCCCTACATTCTATACTGATGAAAATAAATTAGGAAAAGCAGGTTACACATCAGAAAACTTAAGTGGCTCAAAGCCCTTATGATTCTGTCCAAAAGTCAGAATTATATGCTGACAGTATGCTGTCCTAATTGGACAAGCAGGACACAAAAGAAAAGACTTGCCACGAAAAGGTAGGACAGACCTTCACAATCCTGCTTCACAAAAAAGTCTGTCAGATATGCTACATTTGTAGGCTGAAGATAGATGTCCCAATATTTCAGAGGAACCTTGGGTGACTGTCCAGGCAGCCAGCTGTTTTTGTCATTTCTCACATTTTTTGGAAGTTACTTGCTTGCACTTCCTGCTTCCTCAGGTAATTTTTTTTTTGGGGGGGTCTCCAATTGAATTGAAGACTTAATAGTTATAGCTTTCCTTGTTATCAGATGCAGAAAAGAAATTCAATGAAAAATGTAAAGTGTTGAGAGACATAAAAATATAGTTTTGTTAATACAAGGTAAAATAGAAAGCGAATTAGGTACAACCTTTTGGACTCACCAAAATAAGACAACTATGGAACATTTTGTCTAATTTGTCAATTGTTAATGGATTAGTCATTGTCAATGTATGTATTGCTTGTAGATATTGTATAGTTATTGTACTTATTGTATATAGTTTTCTCATTAGTTACAACCTGTAACACAAAAAAATAAAAGTCCCAGTGACAAATACTGGAGTTCAAGCTTCAAGCTGAAGATCAGAAAAGCAAAGCAGCCAGCCACTAGCTCTCACCTCTACCTCAGCTCAGACCAAAGGGGCGATTCTCACACTGCTCCAGACTTCACTGCTCCTCAGATACACTCAGAATGAATACCAGCTCTGAGACCCTGCTTCTGTCTTATATACCTCCTGATGCTGGAATCCCAGCTGTTTCTTTAGGGCTAGATCAATTCCATTAGTCAGTGTGGCCTTGACCTAACAAGAGACCATCTACCTCTCAATCCTGAGACCTGGGATTAAAGGTGTGTACTACCATCACCTAGCTCTATCGCTGCTGGAATTAAAGGTGTGTATCACCACTGCCTGATCTGTATAGTTTGAGGCTACCTTTGCTTTCTGAGTCCTCAAGCATGTTTTAATAAATCATAAATAATTTATCACCACAATAACTTTATTTTTAGACAAAAAAGGGAAATGTGTTGATATCTTGTTTATACTCTAACAAATAAAGCTTCTCCAAAGATCAGAGGTGGAGCTAGTCGCTAGCTACCATAGAGGCCTGGAGGTCTGTACAGACAGACAGGAAGTGAGATGGCTGGGCAAAGAGAGGAATATAGGTAGGAGGAGAATGGAACTCGGTTCTCTTTTCAGCCTGAGGATTTCATAGAGGTAAGGGCTCCAGTGGCTGGCTGCTCTGCTGCTCTGATCTTTCAGCTTTTACCTCCCAATATCTGACTCAGACTTTTATTATTAAGACCTTTTAGAATTCATGTTACAGTGGACTGACTGTGTCCCCTCTGGAATTGTAAGCCAAAACAAACCCTTTATCCCCTAACTTGGTTTTATCAGGGTGTTTTATTACAGCAACAGAAAAACAACTAATACCATTACCTTAAAGAAGATGAACTAGAACCAGAATCGTTATCTCTAGAAATCTGAACATATAAGTACTTTTATACTCTCAGCTCAGCTGGTACCTCACACAATAAATATACAGAGTACTCAATGACACACTTTTTGAAAGGATTGGTTAATTCTAAGTACGTGGGAAAAATGAGAACACTGTGGCTGTCCTGCAGTTGGAGAGCAGGGGATCATGGAGCTTCATCATCTTTAGCAACCCTGCAGTTTTGATCATAGCTCTCTTACAGTCTTTAATTATCTCAGACTTTTCTTGAGATAACAGAATCCTTATTTTTTTATATTCAAATTGCCGTGAGAATAAAGCGAAGATTAGCAGCATGTGGGAGCAGGGTTGCAAGGTGCCTTCATCAGCACCAAGTTTGAAAGGGTACCTCTGTTACAATGACTTTACAATCTTAATGATAACAACCTTAGTACCAAAATCTTTAAACAAATCATTTAATGCAAGTGATAACATCAGAAAACTGACCTTCCACATCATGAGAGCGCCCATCATGAAAGGACTAAACACAGTCAGAAAGCAATACACGGAGGCAAGGTCAAAGCTAGACAACAACAAAGCAAAGAGTAAAGATTTTAGAATTCACACTGTGACTTTAAAAGGACATTCTATTAAAAGGATGCTCAGTAGGTCTCCGAAACCAACTCTTATTAAACTCAGTCATACTAGAATAAACAAAATAGATCTGTATGCTAATCTCCTTCAGTATTGTATTATACTCCAGTATACTATATTATTGAATATAAAAACAAGGTAAAGTGACTGAAGAGATGGTTAAGCAGTTAAGAGCACCTGATGGTCTTCTAAAGGACTCGAGCCATGAGGCCTATTATTCCAGTATGTCTAACACTCTTTTGGCCTATGCACACACACGCGAGCACATGCAAGCACACACACACACACACACACACACACACACACACACACACACACACACACACACACACACAGTAAATAAAAGTAAAACATTACCTGTTAATAGAAGCTATATTTCCAGTTCCAAAAAATGCGGTCACTAAAAAGAAAACCTATACACAGTTAAGGAAATGACCAAATAAGTAAGAATTCACAAAATTTCTTTCTTTCCAAATCATTTATCCTTATTTGTGAAGACAAGCTTGCAAGTAGTGACTAGTCTTGGTTGACAAATGAAAGGTTTCTAATTCTACATCCAAATCAGGCATTTTCTTGATGACTTGAGCCAAATGATCTAGCAAAGGGCACTCCCTAGAGTGGAGGGAAGGACATGAGTTCAAGCCAATTTTCCCTTTCCTTCAGCCCTAGCTTCTGGACCTGGTGTTTGCTACATTCTCTGTTTCATTTAGAAAGAGTTTTCTTTCTTATCTGTTTAATCATCAATTGTCTGAAAGTGATGGCTGAATGCCTCCCCAGTAAATGCATTACAAAGATCTGAGAATGGAATTGATGCCCTGAAATCCATTGTGTATGTGCAGCTGCTGGTGACTCTTGAGACGCCCACTTTCCTCTTCTCAAGCATCAACAGGATGAGCTAACTGTGGTTGCCACTTATGACTGTTTCAGGAGGATGTAGGCCTAAAACACCAGACCTTTTCAGCTACAAGATGGCTTTATTTACATATACTTCTTACAGGCCCTTTACATGTGAAACACATAAGCTCTGTAAAATGCTCAAAAAGAAATAAACCATACTTTAGAATAACTCAACTCAATAGAGATTGCTGGACATTTTTAACACGTACTGACCTATTCATAAATTTTTTATTGTTTGTGTGTGTGTGTGTGTGTGTGTGTGTGTGTGTGTGTGTGTGTGTGTGTGTGTGTTTAAGTTAAATGACAACTCTGGAGGGTTCTGAGAACCCTCTGAGAACCTCTCAGAACAATGGGTTCTGAGAACTTAACTCATCATCAGGTTTACAGTGTATTAGCTACATTCTATTGTCAAAAGCAACTTAGGGAGGGAAGGATTTATTTGGTTTACACATTCAGATCACAGTGCATCACTGTAGGAAGCTAAGGCAGAAACCCGGAAGCAAGAACTGAAGCAGAGACCACAGAGAAAGGCTGCTTACTCACTTGCTAACTATGGCTTGCTCAGCCTGCTTCCCTTATACAACCAGCGCTACCACCAGTACCACAACAGTGGACTGCGCCCTCCCACATCAATCACTTATTAAACAAACAAACAAACAAACAAATAAATGTGTCTGACTGGCTTGCCCACAGGCTAATCATGGAGGCAGTTCCTACATCTGGTTCATTATTCCACATGACTCTAGTTTGCCAAACTGATCAAAACTAACCAGCACACACAGTCAGTGCTTTTACCTGCACACTCAGTAAGTGCTTTTACCTGCACAGCCATCTCACTGGCTCTATTTCTTGAACCCTGTTGGTGTCCAGAATGCACTTCTAGTTAAGTACTCAAAATGAGGTCTGACTTAACAAAAGCCCTTATTAAAATGAGCCCTTTTATCATCACACACACATGTGCACAGAGATCGTTACAGGGACCCTGCAAGAGAAATCACGACAACTTCTCGTTTAAAGGCAGCATCCCAGTTAGTGTGCTAAGCTGTAAAGGTATCCATGCTGCCATTGTCTGAACTCAACCCCTAACCAACCAACAGTTACTGTCTGGCACCTGTCTTAAACAGAGGGACATATACTAAGAACATGCATGTGCATAAAATAGTCTTAAAGTCATCTAAACATGCTGGTAAAAGTGGTAGACATAGTGGGAAAATAAATTACATAATGAAAGTGTAAATAGGTGTGATAAGAGCTAATGGCTCATTAAAGACACGCAAACAATGAAGGAAGGAATACAGACTAACAGCATGTTAGTAAACTTGAACTTTAAAAATCTGGGGAAATGATGTGAGAAGCAAACAGTTCAGGTTAATGGCATAATGAAAATCCATATGATTTTCATTATCATAATGCACGAGGATAGGGAGACAAAAGGCTCCATAGAGAGCTGGTTCAGTAGACCACGTCAGAGGCAGGGGGATGTCTAGGGAGTTACTTTGGGTGAGAGCACCATCAGTTCAGTTCACACAGGTATCTGGTGATTCCAAGGAAACTGGTGGGCAGAGGGCTAGCAAGGTGAGAAGAGGTCAGAGCCAGGGAAGTGGATGTCAGAAGTGTCTCCCGGTACTAGTGGAGAAGCTGTTACTCATTAAACATAGGAAGCAGGCTACAGAAGGTGGCTATAAAAGCCGCGGTTCAGGACCATGCAACATAAGGAGAACAGAGAAGGAGAAGGAGGAGGGGGAGGAGGAGGAAGAGGAGGAGGAAGAGGAGGAGGAAGAAGAGGAGAGGAGGAGGAAGAGGAGGAGAAACAAAGAGCCATAGAAAACAGTAGAATGGTATTTGGAAGACCCAGCAAGAGGGGCAAAGAAGATTTGGTCAAAGAATAAAACTTTCAGTTATCTATGGTGAGTAAGATCTAGACAGCTAAGGTTCAGTATGGTATAGAAAGTGTATTGTGTTAAAGCCTGCTAAGACAGATGACTTTAGTGTTTCTCACAAGAAGAGGGATGGAAGGAGGAAGGATGGGAAGAAGAGTGTGAAGGAGAAGGAGAGGAAAGGAATGCAATTGGCAGCTGAGTAGATGAGGATGTGTCTATTTGTGCGAACATTCTGTTGTGTTAGGCAAAGCATCAAGCTACATGTCTTCAATGTCTATGATTTTTACTAACTTTACCTCAGGGGGAGCTGAAGATTGAGGTAATGCTGCCAATGGACTAACTCCCTATGGATTCCTTGCAACTAGTGAGTAGGTCTTCACCATGGCATCTTTCACACTTATAAATCCTCTGATGGGATCCAAAGCCCACCCGTGAGACAGGCACTCACCTAACAAGCCTCAGGTAAAGCACACGGGATATAAACTCTAATGGTTCCTTCGAGGGCAGGAAAAATTAAACAGGAGTTGAGAGTTGAAAGGAGAATTCAGTTTCAGCTTCAACGTTTTATTTTTAAGAAATATGTGATAAAATCTTAAGACACTGCTAAGACACTGAATGGTGAGAACACATACACATTTGCAACATCGTTTTCTATAGCTAAAAAAGTGTTTATTTGTTTGCACTATTAGGGATCGAACCCAGGACTTGGGGCATGCTAAGCAAGCATTATATCCCTGGTCTAAATGCCTTGCATCTTCCCTCTCCAAATTTTGATGAGAGCTGTACATATTAGAAAACTCAAGTTGAGGACAGAGTTAACTGGCCTCTAATAAAATACCACTATTATGTAACAAGCAGAAACACCTTCTATATTGTCTTACTCTATTAGAGTGAGGTTGCAGATCTTAAAAGTCCCAACAAAGGATACAAGGAAAAAGGCCCTGCGGATGTCATCCAGATTAAGCAGTCGCAACTGAGCTATATCAGTATTACAGGTGAACTGAATGCTGGTGAACTGGGAGGTAAGAAGAAATACAATAATACACATTAATATACAATAGTAGTTACCTTACAGACTTATAGACAAATTAACAATGGGTAAGAATTTATACTGTGCCCACATAAAAAACAAATTACAAAAAGACCCACAACAGTGAAATAGCATAATTATACAATCCACTGGAAGGCAAAATATGTTAATAACATGCTAAATGTAGTTGTTGTATTATCACATGTTATTCAACTAAGAGTTGGGTTTCTTTTCCTAACCTGTATAAATATTCCATTTTCAAATCACTATTCAGAGACCTCATTTATCAGCTTTCTTGTCTTCCTAAATCAGTTATATAATATTAAAAAGATGGCACAAAGTAAACATTTGCTCATTTTGTTCTGCTATGTCTATTTGCAGATAAATTACTTTTTCCTTATAAATGCAAAATATTTCTGTCTTTATAAAAGGGAAAGTCATTCCAATAAATAATGTGAAGACATTCTTGCTTAGGTTCCCAACCCCAGCAAAAAAGCCAAAAGAGAATTGAAAGGATTCTCCCCAGTGCAATACCCTATATAAATAACCATGCTTTGGCATCCTTTCAAAAAACAATAGCAAAAAGCCTTCTTTCAGTTAAAAGTGATCTCCCCTCTCCTGAAATGCTATCAAGGACAAGTCCTGACTTTTTACAAACTGGTTTTCACACATACACACCAACGCAGCTGCTTCTGTACTGAAACGTCATTCTGAATGAGCAATGCCTCTTGGAAGGCAGCTGGCCCTAGGTAAGGGCAGTGGTGAACAACAGCACTCTGTCTTTCTTCACTAGACCTCAGGAAAACTGGAGTGTTCTGTCACCAAGTTCTCAGAATTACCTTAGTTCTGAACCAGGTGAGACAGCACTTAACTTTCTAACCCCTGATGATGGTGGCATCCTTTAAAAGTGGTTGGATGCTTTCCAGTTCTAAGCATAGCATAGTGTGCAAACTGTCGAAGACAGAGAAGCAACAATGGGCACTTAAAATATCAGCTTGATCATAAGAAGGGAAAACAGGTGTGTGCATGTGCTGGAGGCCCAAGTATGTAGTGCACATGCCACAGTATGCATGTGGAGGTTTTGGCTCTCTCTTCCCACTTAATCTCAGATCATCAAGTGTGTTAGCCAAGTGCCAAGCACTTTTATCCACTGAGATGTGCTGCTCACCCTATATTGGTATCTTTTTTTTATTTGATTCTTAGTAATTTTCTATGAAAAGCCCAACACCTACATGTCATACAAAACTGTACAATTGTATTTTGATGAAATAACACTAATATTCTTGTAGCACAGAGAACATTTTAAAGCAAAGCAGCAACGGTTTGGACAGCTACCTTCTGTCTACAGGAAGCACCAGGCTGTTGCAGGGTCTCTTGTTCCATGTGTACCCAGACAAACATCAAGCAGGACAACACTAACGGGAAGAGAGCTTCATACCTGAGAGGCAGGAATTGAAAGCGCAGAGATGAAAACTAACAGAGGAAGCTGAAAATCAAAACTAAAACTCGTTCTCTGCATAACTGTGATGGGGGCTGGAGAGAGGCTCAGCAGTTGTGAGCAATTGTTGCTCTTAAAGAAGACCCAGTGTGGGTCACCAGCACCCACACAATGGCTTCCAATGGTCTGTAGTGCCAGTTCCAAAGGTTCTGTTTCTGTAGGCACCAGGCACACACACACAGTGCATATACATGAAGGCAAAACAGCCACATACATAAAATAAAAATGAAATAAACCTGAAAAAATAATTGCTCAAATTATTTTTTATACTCCAAACCTTTTTTCTAGACAACGTTAGGTAAAGAAAGATACATTTAAATTCCAACTTTAATGGTATTTTTTTAACTTCTTTAAATCTTAGGATTTAATGCTTAAAACAGTGAAAAATGTTATAAAACACTCCTAAAGAAGATAACAGTTATTCATAAAAGAAAATGCTAAGGCAAATGTAAAAAAAAATAACTTTGTAGGTACAATCACTGATATATGTATAAGAGCAAGACAAATATGCCAAACTTCCTAAAAGGTAAGTTTGACACAGGACTGCATCCCCTAAGGAGAAAATAAAAGGGTCAATAAATGCATTAAAGTATGTCTGGATAAATCAATAACTAAGATGGAAATCAACAAAAATACAAGATGCCATTATTTACTTACCATGTATGTCAACATAAAAACACAGTGTTGAAAAGAGAACCCTGAAACAGACTCTCATTCTCTGCATATAGAAACATACTCTACAGTGGAATACAGAAACATACTCTACAGTGGAATATAGAAGCATACTCTACAGTGAAATACAGAAACATACTCTACAGTGAAATACAGAAACATACTCTACAGTGAAATACAGGAACATACTCTACAGTGGAATATAGAAACATACTCTACAGTGGAATACAGAAACATACTCTACAGTGGAATACAGAAGCATACTCTACAGTGAAATACAGGAACATACTCTACAGTGGAATATAGAAACATACTCTACAGTGGAATACAGAAGCATACTCTACAGTGGAATACAGAAACATACTCTACAGTGGAATACAGGAACATACTCTACAGTGGAATATAGAAACATACTCTACAGTGGAATACAGAAGCATACTCTACAGTGGAATACAGAAACATACTCTACAGTGGAATACAGGAACATACTCTACAGTGGAATACAGAAACATACTCTACAGTGAAATACAGGAACATACTCTACAGTGAAATACAGGAACATACTCTACAGTGGAATATAGAAACATACTCTACAGTGGAATACAGAAACATACTCTACAGTGGAATACAGGAACATACTCTACAGTGGAATACAGGAACATACTCTACAGTGGAATACAGAAACATACTCTACAGTGGAATACAGAAACATACTCTACAGTGGAATATAGAAACATACTCTACAGTGGAATACAGAAACCTACTCTACAGTGGAAGGCTATCTAATGCTATGCATCAAAAATATAAAAGCATTCGTAAACCACAACCTAAGAACATAAACCACAACCTAAGAACATCAATTCTAAGAAAATCAGACATGTGCACTATAAATCTTACTATAAAGATGTCTACAGACGGGCAAAAAAGGGGTGAAGGCCTTGCATGTTCACACGATGGTTATTTTGAATGTACCTGTGTCTCTGTAAGATGGAGGACATTAAACACAAAACAAAAAAGAAATACTCAAGGTAACAGTACCAAGCCCTTTGCAAACTGCTTCTGCTCCAGCCTGGAGTAACTGCTCTGTTTCCAAGATCCCCAAACGCTCTACTGAAGGATTTACCACCAGCTTTGATCAAGAAACATTATCTATACACCTCCTACTTTATGAAAAGAGTTTGGTTACTATGTAGCATGGTTCTGAGAGAATAACTAACTTTATGGGAAGCTGCAAAGCAAACAAACAAAAACCATAATGAAACCTTGCTTCACCTTTTACTACTGAACTCTAGGGCTTTATGACACTATTTCCTGTTATGCCCTAAGCCCAGAAGGAACCCCGAAATACCACCAAGAGACCAAAGCGGATGCAAAAGCAGTCTTTATTGCTAGTTCTTAGACCTTTCCATCCTTCCCAAGCAGCAGCAGGGCAGGGGACACTGAGAACACTACACGTTTTTACAGTGCCAGGTAAAAGGGGGTGGGCTTGAGGAATTCCAAACTGGCATGGTGATGTGTTTGGGATTGGCTCAAGTCCTCCAAAAGTTCATAATTACTTACAGACTTGGGATTGGCTCAAGACCGGTATCTGGCCTGAGCTGATTGGTTACCTTGGGTCTAGGGAGAATTGCAACATTGGAGTTTACTCCTCTGATTGGCCTCTCCCTGTGGGATGTAGAGTTCATGGCTCCTATGTCTAGGTCTGAGGTCAGGGACTAGGACTGAGGTCAGGGAGAGGTCAGGGGCAGTCAAGTCTAGCTGACTGGTGAGGCTGCCTCCAGCTCAGGTGTTTGTGCTAGGGCTGCAATTCTGCTGAGATAGGAAGATTCAAAAGAAAAAGAAAAATGCTTTCAAGTCTACCAAAAGAATAAAACAAAAATACTAAAGACTGGACAGAAACCTCTAGATTTGAGGAAATATATACAATCACCTAGTGTGTAGGATATAGGATGTCCTAGGATGACTATATACATGACAAAATATCAATAGCAAAATGAACAGAAAACAGTAAAAAACAGAGTCATTCATAGCCCATTAAAATTGTATTTGGTGTTCTTATCTGAAAAGAAAAATAGTCCAATAGTCCCCATTATTAAGGATGTGATAAAATAACACCTCTTGTAGTTGGTGATATAAAATAGCACTGTTCTTAAAACAAATAGAATTAAAAAAAAACATGCCTAATGGGCCTCATACATCATAGTGAAAATCATACAAAAAAAAAAAAAAAATCTAAGCTACAAACACTCAGAAAACAGAAACAGTTTCATAGTCACCAACCCAGTTCTACTACTCAAAGTCTATTCAGTTCCTAACCCATAAAATCAACTAACAGTATTTTTTTTTAAAATTAGCGTAAGAGGACAGAAACAAAAATTAAAGACAATTAAGAGAACAAGAATTGGAAAGTATGAATAACCTCAGTGAGCTGGAGATGTGGCTCAGTTGGTAGAGTGGCTGCTTGCTGAGTACCCTGGAAGTCCTGGCTTCATCCCCATCACTACACCAACTAGAACGGGTAGCAGCACAGGCTTGTAATCCCAGCACTCGGGAGGCAGACACAGAAAGATCTAAAAAGTTCATGGTCATATAATGAATGAGGCCCACCTGGGTTGCCTGAGGCTTTGTTTAAAAACTAATAATAATAATAATAATAATAATAATAAATAATGTAATATGTAATATATGACAATATATTATAAATATTACATATATATACATACATATACCCAGAGGGACAGCAACTAAATAAAAGTGCATTCATATCACAAAATATTAGACATCTAGTAAAATGGTAAAGGAAACCAACTGATCTACATGAGAAAATATTTCTAACTTAAACAGAAAAAAGATTGAAAATACTATAAATACTATGATTAATTAGGTGTTGAAAGTTGGAAAGAAATACACCAGAGCCTCAATAGTATGGGTGATTATTTCCTCCTTCACCCATCTTATCAGAATGTGGTGATACTATTATTGTTACAACGAATTAAAACAGGTGAAAAAAAAAAACTGGAATGTCTATATCCTGGCCATTGTTTAAGGTTTAGTCCAACTTCCACATGAGGTTGGATGCCACCAACTCAGTTCTACCACCCACGGACTATTCAGTTCCTAACAAATAAATCAACTTTCCAGTTTTACTGTAACACTACAAAACACAATTCTAATATTACAGCCTGAACGGCTCCACTGCAAGTCTGCATGATGGTAACAGTTCTTTCGGTTTGTCTGCTTAGTGCTCAGGATCCCGGAAATGTAGAAGAAACAAAACAAAACAAAAACGTCATTAATCAAATCAAGAAGGCGCATACTGTAGGAAAAGGAAGATGATGACTCTGAAAATATTTACTTTTATTTTCTATGCATGAGTATTTTGCCTACATGAACATCTGTGCACTGCATCCATGTTTAGCATGCAAAGGGGCTATAGGAGGGTAGTGAATCCCCTGGAAGGGCAGTTACAGAAGGTTATTAGTACCATCTAGATCCTGGGAACTGAACCTGGGTCCTCTAAAAAGCAACCAGTGCTCTTAAGTGCCCAGCCATTGCTGGGCAGCCCCCATGGCACCATGACTCTTAGAAACTGTTTCAGCTGTGTGTGAGAGTCATTCTTTCTGATAAAACACAGCCATAAATCACTTAGTATTTCAGAGCTCTGGCCCTTTCTAAAATGCAGACAAGATCAGATAGAAACAGTCCTCCCAAGAGACTTTATCTCCGGGCAACTTTTCATATGCAACCTACAAATCCAAATTAATATGGAAAGACCAATAAAATGTCATTGTGGGTTTCAAGGGAATGTAATGAAACACTAAACTCTAAGTTGTAATCTGCTGGTTTGGCCTCTGTGGGTAGATTGCAATGGGCTAAAAATGCATTTAGATCTGTATTATATTTTGCTAAGCAAAGGGACAATGTAAACAAAATCTCAGAGGGAAATATTTAACAACCCAATAGACAAAACTATTTTCAAGAATTATAATAGCTTTCATTTGAATAAAATTAATTCAGGCCTGATTACTAATGAATCTTTTTTATTCATTAAATCAAGAATGCATTGTTAGAATTTAAGATTACTATTTCTTTGTAATATAATAAAGCTGCATTTATTTTAAAAATCTCTTATTTCTGAATATTTACTGACTTATACAGAGAAACTTTATTTTGTCCAAAACAGTGAAGAACTACATGATTTAAAAAACTGATAAGAAATCAAGAAACTGTACTAACCCGATGACTAGAACACACTGTTTCAAGACCCATTTTCAAAGCTAAAAACAGAATCTGATGTTGAATGATGTCTCTTAATACATTTATTAGTAAGGTCAAACTCAGCAGTAACATTCTGATTTTAGGCATTGACTTTCCTGGTTTTAATTTCCTAAAATAAACTAGATATCATAATGATAATCTGTTTGAGGGTCTCTCAAGACCATTAAATTGATGATCGACAACACTATTATAAAACTTGTCTCCAAGTTAAATTACAGGATGAATTCACTCTATATTAAAAAACATATTATATTTACTTAAAATCAAGCTTATACTATCCTTTCATTCTTCCTTAACATACTCCTTTGTTTCCAATCCAGATCTATTTCTAATATTTATATTTTACTCTTTTTTATTATTAATTGACATTTTTGCAGAGTCAAGAATTGAAGCCTTGTGTTTTATAGAAAAGACTCTACAATCCCTGTGTGATCATTTGTCTTTCTTGTCAACTTGATACACTCCAGAATCAGCTGGGAGATGGTCCTGTGGGCATGCCTATGAGGGATAATCCTGATCATGTCAACTGTGGGCAGTACCATTTTCTAGAATGGGGGCCCTGGACTACTGTGCAAAATGTAGATGTAACATGAGTGCTAACATGCTGTCATGGCTCTGTGATTACAGATCTTGTGAGCAGCTGCTTCAGCCCCTGACACCTTGAATCCCCTACTCTAATGAACCATACCCTTGGAATTGTGGCCCAGAACAAACCTCTTCCCTCAAGTCGCTTTTGTCAGAGTATTTAGCATAGCAACAGGGAAAGAATCCAAAATACCAAGTCTTTGGTTTTTAAAAGCAGGCTGGTCTCAAACTCCTAACTACTGCCTCAGCCTCCTCAGTGCTTAGAATTACAAGAATGTTCAACCATTTTTTTTTAATACATTCCTTTGAACCTAAAAAAGTATATTGCTTTATTCTAAAATAAATACTCACTTTCTCAAACAAACCTCTAAATATGCCTTTTTACCTTATTTTTTTTCAAGACAGGGTTTCTCTGAGTAGTGTTGGCTGTCCTGGAACTCACTCTGTAGACCAGGCTGGCTTCAAACTCACATAGATCCATCTGTCTGCCCACCCCCAGTTGCTGGGAATTAAAGGAGTGTGCCATCACCACCTAGCTAAGTGTGACCTTTTAATAGAACAATCATCCCCAAATGATGGGATTTTATCCTTTAATTTCTTATACAGACCAAAACCTTTTGATATTTTATTTTTTTTATGCATATAGAGTATTTTTTATTTAATTTTATATAACAAAGTCCAATTAAATGAAAACAAACATTTATACACAATATTTGGGAATTTGGGCGTCGTTCTTTCCAAACTACTTCCTGCTGGTAAGGGGCGCTGTCTTGGGGGATTCGAAGAAGATTCAGATATCCTAGCTGTAGAACCTTTTGATATTTTAATCTGAAGGGTGTTAATAGAATATTTTTACCAATAATATGAGAAAATGTAAAGTGTTTTCAAATTGTGTTTATCACTGTTGACTAAGAACTAGATTCTCACATACTTCAAGATTTACTTCACAACTGTACATTTTGAAGCAAATTTGGCATGAGATTTCTTTATGAAGCAACTGTGGAAAGTTTTCATGATGCCCATGTTATACGTTAGACAGGGAGAAGAGAAAATAATAGGCTATGTGGGGACCTTTGATGAGAGGACATTTAGTGTCCACGCCACTTGGTATGTAGCGCCTACAAGGACTTTTCAAGTCCAGTTCACTTGGGATGTTAAAGGTCCATTGGCAAAAGCTTTCAGAAAGTCTCTGTAGTACTTAGGACACTAAGAGACCTAAAGAGTGACTCAGGCCTTGGAGTCTGGATGGCCTTACAAGATCATTTAAATTGAGAATAACGTGCTGGTAGCACCATGGTGAATGCTGGGCTGAGTCTAATTCAGATCAAGAACTCATAGTTTAGCCATATTTTAATGGTATTTACTCAACTTGTCTGCCCTGTTTATCATTTGTTCTAAAGCAAACACCCTTCATCCTCATAGGATGAAAGGAAGGATTGAGTAACATCAAATTCAAATGACGAACTGGGATTGGTGACATGCCTGGAACATCAGCACTCGGGAGCCTGAAATAAGAGAGATGAGAGTTTGAAGCTAGCTGAGGACACACACTAACTGAGTTGGGGGGAAGGGTGAAAGGCAAGAATCCTTCCCCTCAAAGTCAACATGGAAACTATAAAAGTGCCTTCACTTAAGCTTAAAGTGATGTTTCAGGGTTCCTGGCAAATTAACCCATCAGATTCTTTGTTTACATCTACTTGGGAAGAAAATTTCAATTCTTTTTAACTGCACATGCCTTTAAAGCAACCAGACAGACTTCTGTCAGTTCCATGTAAGGCTGCTCTACACAGTAAGAACCTGTTCCAAAAACAAAAAGATGTGAACGTTTAAAAGAGATTTCTTTTTATGTGCATGTGTTTTCATGCCAGTTTGTGCTCATGCACGCAAGTTCCCTCAGGGACCAGAAGAGGGCGCAGAATAGTTTAGAGCTGGAGCTACTGACTGTGGGTTCCAATGTTGATGCTGGGAACTGCTCTTCATGACAAAGCATTCATGACAATCCTAATTGCTGAGCCATCAATCCAGCCCTACAGATTTCCAATTTCAAACAACAGTGAATTGGCTCCTTTTGAAATACTTGAAAAACGCCTTATGTCAAAGGAATATTTCAATTGCAATATATGTAAGAGCAAGAATAAAAAGAAAATATATTCAAATAATGATCAAATTGAAATATTTGAAGACGCTCTTTTTCTTTTGTTGGTGCTGAATGTTGCACAAAGGGCACATGCTAGGCAAGCTTTCAATCCAAGTTATACTGCAACCTTATGGCAGACTTTAAAATGCATGAAAGAAATAGCGAATTTGTCAAGGAACAAGGCTGTAAGCAAGTCTCAATTAGCAAAGTGAAAAGTGTTCCTTGTTTCATGTGGCCTCTATTGTACTACTGGCCTACAGTTTTTTTCCCTGGGAAGCCATACTGTAGCTCTATTCCAGACCCTGGTTCTCATCTACCTTTTCATGTTTTAGCACAGTGGTTCTCAACCTTCCTAATGCTGTGACCCTTTAATACAGTTCCTCATGTTGTGCTGACCCCCAACCATAAGATTTTAAACTATTTTCATTGTTACTTCATAACTGTAATTATTTGCTAGGCAGGATATCTGATAAATGATCCCTGTGAAAGGGTAGTTCAACCCCCAAAGCACTGCTTCAGACAAATCTATGGGGTATATTAAAAAACAAAAACAATCAGACTCTGCTTTGTATCCAGGCTTATGCAGGGTTTGCTGCAGTGGTTTTGGGCTGACTTGTAAACATCCAGTAAGGGACAGGAAGGTGGGTGAGCGTGGGGATGAATGAGAGAGAATGAATTGCTCCATGGAGTGGGAAGCACCCAGACAGGAAGTGCTCTTCGGGATATTAAGCAGCTTTACCTGAAGTCTGCTGCCTGGTCTGCTCACCAAGGTTCACTGTGTTCTGACTCATCAGAGGGTTGTCCAAGATATATGGGTATCATAATTCCCTCATTCACCCCCTGTATGCCTAACACTCCCGTGCCTTGAATCCCTAAATCCTTTACACACAGGAAAGCCAACACTACTCACTCCAACAATGAACAAAGAAGGATGGGAGTAAACTGTGAAAGCAGTTATGTACACCCTCAAAGCAGGAGCACCATAAGATAGGAAGGAGAGTTTCGTGTGCCGGAGCTGAGGGTTAACGTTGTGACCAAGGCAAGGCCAGACTGATGTCCAAACCTCTTTAGTTCAGGTGGTAAAAGCTGTTACGGGTGTAAGCTTTAAATTATAGGAGTTAAATCGTGAACATACTAGTTTTCTTCAGTTACTTTTATTTTAAAAATGATTTGCTGTATTTTCTGCTAGGTCCTGGACTCTGAAGAACTTTAAAACAATACAGCTTGTTTTTCTCAAGTGCAACAGGAAGCAGTGATACTGCTCTGTATTAAAGAGAAACGTCCACTTCCCTTCTAGCTACATAGTCCAGTCACTTAATGGAATAGAGATCATACCACTGTGGGAAAACGCATTAAAGGAAGGCAACAAAACTAAAAATCCTTTGTAAAAACTCTTCAGATGCTGGGTGGCGGTGGCACACGCCTTTAATCCAAGCACTCGGGAGGCAGAGGCTGGCAGATCTCAGTGAGTTCAAGGCCAGCCTGGTCTACAGAGAGGGTTTCCAGGACAGGCTCCAAAGCTACAGAGAAACCCTGTCTCAAAAAACAAAGAAAGAAAGAAAAAAAAAAATCCTCAGACATAATCCATCAGGATTTCCTAACACCATAATTAAATAAAATTTCAGCAATTTCTACAATTAAAAAGAGATAACAAATAACACTCTGAAAATGATGAGAAAAAGAAAACAAAATTATATACCAAGTTACCTACTCACATAAAAGGTATAAAATATTTATAATTTATCCTTCAAGGTGTAGAAACCATTTTTATTTCCAAAGCTTAGCTACTGGAGAAGAGAGACAATTTAGCATGTAAAGTTTGCAATTGTGAAATTATATTTTAAGAAAAGTTTATACATATGTATGTGTAGCAGCAATACTTATAGAAGTCACGAACAGGGACATGGAAGGAGTTGGAGGGGGAGAGAGGAAGGCACAGAAATAATGAAATACAGTAATCACATCAAATTCTCAAAAATTAAAAAAAAAATTTTTTTTAACTGGAAAAAAGTCCATACCCTGTGCTTAGAAGCAAGTAGGTGGACATCAAGGAAAGAAGTATGCTGGAGAGTCGCTGGAAGAGAGCTGTGGAACTCAGGAGTGGCATGACCAAGGAAGAGGCTGTAAGAAAACAAGAGCCCAGTGTTAGCTCCGTAGACCCAGGCAACCCACCGCCACTTAGGCTATTCAGGGTTTGTGTGAACTTTACTATAACCCCAGAATTTCTGTAAGAAAACAAACATTACATTCTTAACTACAATTTTACTGTGGGTTAAATAACTCACGTTTGCTCAATTTTATTTAAACCAGATCACTGTAATAACATTGGCTTCCACATGAATAACTTACCAATTTCTAATTAAATAAAATGTATTACTTAAGGTTTAGCAACTTGTCTCTTAGACATTTATGTCATAGTTCAAACACAACGTAATCTTTAAAAATGAGTATGTCTAACATCAGAGAAGTAGGCATCTAGAGTTGTAGTGTATACCTGGTATATCAAGATCAGGGAAGAATGACTTCACCATATGTCAGAGTTGTGGAAGTCATCCTAGAACATTAACTACCTCAAGATGAGCATGGAGATGAAAAGGGTTGTCAACACAAACAGAAACCCAGCGGCTATTTCAGAGAGGGACTGTACACACACAACCGCCTAACATCCCAGGTGCTCCAGAATATGAAACTCCAGTGATGTTTAGCTGAATCTCTCACTAATTGGTTTTTGCAGGGCTCAAGTTTATTAATCCACCTAAGGAGAAGTTTGCACATCTGCTAAATAGGGATAACATTCAAGAAAACTTGCCTTAAGTTTTAAGTACAAGTTCGGCTATAATATGCCTAGTATTAGCTGCTATCTTTATTAGTAACTAGTATCATGTAAAGTAAGCTAAATTTATAGATAATTTTAATTAAAGTTACAAGTCCCTACAAGATTCAAAGCTCTACAAGTTCTATTTGTAGGGTAGCAATAGGTCAATAATCTTACTGCCTAATACATACTCTAATGTAAAAAATAATTTGCAATGTTATTTTAAATCAGTTCAAGTGTGTTCTTGGTTTTTGGTTAGTGGATTCTTTTTTTTTTTTTTCCCCCAAAACTCAGAATTAAATTTAAGGTCTCAAGCATACTGAGCAAGTGTTCTACTATTGAGCTACAGCCCAAACAAAAGCCACTTAAAATGAAACCAATTTTCCAATACTGAATATTTCATCTTGGCTTTACTTTTGTCTTAAGGGAAAACAAGGTACTAAAGAGAGATTAAGAGTCTCCATTCTAAGTAACATAAGTATAAGAATATGTCATTTAACCAGGCACTATGAATGTAAGCAAAATATTCCCATTGTAGCCAGACCATGGTGTATCAGTGTCGGGAGATCTTTGGAGATACCCGAAGACTTTCCTATCTGCTATTTCATGTCTCACACCACTTGGCAGGAAACTTGAAGCTAATGATTAGCTCTGCCAATGCTAAAGAAGTAGTTTCTTATTTAAAGTATTCTCAGGGAAATATTTATATGTTTGCAGAACAACAACTGTAGATTGATACTGATTCTAAATTTCTTTTCCACCATTCCAAAATGAAAATGAATCGAATCAGTAAAGACACAAATAAACTATATAGGATATCCAAATTGGGAGAAGGGAATAGGAATTCTTATATAGCATGCATGTGTGTTTTATTTACTATAGCATATGACAATAATTAGGGCAATACTTTAGATTAACAAACAGAGGTACTCTCTTTTCTTCCTTTCTTTTCGACAGAATCTCACTACACATCCCTAGCTGGCCTGGTACTCCCTACATGGCAGGCTTGCCTTTAACTTAAGAGATACACCAGCCTCTCTCTGTCTGTCTCCCCAGTGCTGGTATCAAAGGCATGCACCAGGCCAAGGGAACTATTTTTGTTTTTGTTTTTTGGGGGTTTTTGTTGTTGTTGTTTGTTTGTTTGCTTGCTTGCTTGCTTTGCTTTGTTTGGGACAGTATATAGATCTGGCTGGTCTGGAACAAATGGAGATCCTCCTGCCTCTGCAAAGAAACTTAAACTGTGAACAGATAGTACAAGTAACTCCATTCCTATAATATCCTTAAGACTTTTTCCTTCACTACCGGTGTATTCACCTTTGAAGCAGTTGTGGATACCATGTAGGTGGTGGGAGTTCATCCTGGGCCCTCTGCAAGGGCACTAAGCACATGCACTCACAGAGACATTTCACCACCCCACATCTAACAATCTGAAGTAAGGGTGCTAGATAGAGGAACATGGTTGGAAACACCAAGGAGCTTGATGAAATATACATCATGTTGGGACATAGTTAGTCACCGTTGGTTTTAGCAAGGAAAACATAAATTTAATCATTCACTAATCTGTATAAGACCTGAAAATGTAAAGACTGACATGAAAACTAAATATATATTATAAAGATACAGAATGGAATATTCAAAAAAATCTCTTCTGGAATCACTCAGTAGATGCAATTAGATGTCCGTAAGTACACCGCCCAATTATCAAGTCATAAATACTCTATCAAGTAATTCTTATTACCCATGTGTGCTCACTAGAGTCTACGTTTCTTTGTCAAATTCTAGAAAGAAATAGAAATAATAGCTCGTTACAGTTTTCCTTCACCAAAGTGATTTCTTTCAGTACAATTCAGATATGAAGGTATCATTTTTTTAAGGTAAGAGCCTGGGGGGGTGAAGTTTTCCAATCTGGTTTGATTGGCCACTTACCCAATGTTGCCCAGCTCACAATCTGATTCATAAGAGGCAGGCCTTCTTTCTTGAGCAGACTGTGGTGGGTGCTGTACACAACATACATAGAGAGCACTATACTCAGCATCTGAAAACACACACCAACCAGGTTAGCATAGGGAAGGCAGGGAATAGTGACATGCTAGAGCGAAAGTGCTTAGAAAAGCTGGAATGTGGCTGAAATGCTGGAACTGGACTAGGCTGTCTTCTTGTGCTCTAGCACTACAACTTAGTACTGCCATGCTGAACCAGACTTGCCTAAGAATGACACGAGGCACACGCTCAAGAGTGCTATAGCACACCCCATCTATTTAGACGTCTCGGTTACAAATCTTGAAGGTTTCTTAAATTATGCAAATGGAAGGAGTGTGTAGTTTAGTGCCTTTCCCGTCTCTGTTCCTTTGCACAGCAATACCCATGTTTTTATTTATTCAGCACATTTTTGCAGTCTGTTTATTTACCTGGCCCTGGGAACTGAGACAGTATAAATGCTCATTATACCTTACTGTATGGGAGGAGTCAGCTTGAAGGCTGTCTCATGAAAACTGAGTTATTGAAACATAGTCTCCCCTACTCATTTGTGCGTTGTATCCCTTTGTACTGACATGCTGGACTTGAACATTTTTTAACAGACTCCATGTACATGACCCCAAAAAATATCATCTAGCTGTATAGAAAAATGACTAATAATCTCTGAACTCATGAATGATCATTTTAAATGAATGAGCTATTATATGACAACAAAATCAAATCCTAGAGATAATTTTATTTTGTCTTTTCAGAGGATAAATTAAGACACACAAAACATTGCTGTAAATAAAGCTATTATGAAATCCTAGGATCCTTTCCATTGTAAGACATTGTGGTGGTTAGAATAGGTATGGCCTCCCTAGACTTATGTGTGTGAGCTCTTGGCACACAGGGAATGGCATTATTAGGATGTGTGATCTTGTTGGAGTAAGTGTGGCTTTGTTGGAGGAACGGTCTCACTGTGGAGGTAGACTCTGAGGTCTCATATATGCTCAAACCATGCCCAGTAAGTCATCACTTCCTGCTGCCTGAGGATCCAGACACAGACCTCTCAGCTCCTTTTCCAGCACCGTACTGAGATGCTGCCTACCATGACAATGAGGAACTAAGCCTCCGAAACTCCAAGTGAACCAACACAATTAAATGTTTTCCTTTATACGAGTTTCTGTGGTTATGGTATCTCTCCCAGCAATAGAAAGCCTAACTAAGAGACATATTCTACATTCAGAGATGCCAAAATGTGAAAAAAAAAAATGCCTTGGGATCAATAAAATATGTCAGGCAGCAAAAGTTAATGCAAGAACTTTATAATGGAGTTACATAATACCCAGGGTTATTTCTAACCAAGTATATAAGAATTTAAGCATGATATTCTCTCCTTTCTGGAGAGTCAGGAACACACGCTCCTGTCAAAGCTCTTATTACTGTAGGCGGATTCTGTCAAAACTACCCAGCTTTAGAGGAAAGTCAGCCAGTGTGCCATTTACAATGAAACATATGTTCCTAAGTTTGACAGGATGTTTACTAAGTATTTCTTCTCTTCTTATGAGTTCACTCCTGCTCTCTAGGAACAAATGTAACTTATTATATCTTTTAAGCATGGTATACTTTTATTTAACACTGCTTGGGAAATACTTACATTACGATTCTTTGTTCTGAGAGACTGAGAAGATTCACGTGGGTTTGGCAGAGCTCCAGATATGATTATTTATCCATGAAAGGACAAGGAGGAGAGCTGGTGTAGAAGCGGTGTGAAGGGAACTCATGTTGGTGGGAGTGTACAGTACAGACATTTTCAATGTCTGGCTGGAGGGGTCTCAGAACTGGAAACAGAACTGACACGTGACCTGGCTATGTCTCTCCTGAGCATATACCCAAAGTCATTTGAATACCCATGTTCATTGACAGTCTGTTCATAATAGCCAGGATTAACCTGGACGACGATTAACAGATGAATGGGAAGAAAAGTGTAATATTACTCAGCTGGACTGGCCATGGCTACTGCACTCGTGAACTCACAAGGCTATAGTTACCTGCACAAGAGCAAACAAGCCTAAATCCTGGCAAAGATGGGGATAGTTCTCTATAGGCATCACTACCAAATGAGGAGGTATCGACAGCTGACAGCCGAGAGGGGGAGAAATCATTCTTCTTCTTCTTTTTTTTTTTTTTTAACACTTTTATTTATTTAGTTTTTTACAATCCAATCCCAGTTCCCCCTCAGTGAAGAAGTCCATTCTATATGAAGAGAATCGTTCTTTTGTGAGGGTGATCCTAATGGCTGGTTCCCCACCATCCAGTGAATGGTCTCACACCCATACACATATGGGCATCACTAGATGAACTGAGTGGTACATATACATAATGGGATATTATTCAACTGCAAAGTACAATGGAATTATGGAATTCATAAGTAAATAGATAGAATTGAAAATAATCATTCTGAGTCAGATACCTGAAACCCTGAAGACAAATACTGCATATTCTCTCTTATAATGTGGAAGCCAGATTTGATTCTTTGGATACATGTTTAGAGTACCAACAGATGACAGGAAACCAGTAAGGGGCCATGGGAGGGCACTCAAGTTGTTGGTCAGTGTGGTCCCAAAGACCCTTCTCAATAATACTACAGGCTATCTCCACAGCTTTCAGTTACCCTCCAGAGCTTAATGGTAAGATTTCTGCTGAAGACACCACATACGTGAGTCACGGAACATGGAGATATTAAGTGGTACTACCCTGGAAGCTCCACCCTGACTGCCTAGCTTTTACAGGGAGGATGGTGCTACACATGATACTGGGGGAGAAAAAGAATCAACAGTCTCCCAACTGTGCGCCCTTCCAGCTACTATAATGGGACTGGCAGGACAGGCCCATGGGTGCATTAGCTGCACATATATTATGGGAGTAACCAGCCACTTTCTGCTTGGGCATGACCTGCAAGACAAGCTGGACCTCATTGCTTGTCCTTTTAACTGAACCAAAAGCCTGCGGCTGGCTAGATCATAGGCCCTAGATTAGAACCTAGCACGATTATTCTGCTAAACAGACACAGTAGCTAACTCTCCCCTAAGTTCTTCTCTTTATACCCACAGCAGAGCACCTTTCATCTCTCATCACACACACTACTTTTTATAGTAGATGAGGGTTAATACAGAGACCTACAACTGGTAAACGTGCAGAGAATACGGGATCACTGTGGGTGGGGGGGATGGCCATGACAGCACCACTGCATACATGAACTCACAGCAACTGGGACGGCAAGCACAGACCTGCAGGGCATTATGCCATCCGAAAGCCCAGCACACAGGGGGTGGGGAGCACATAAAACCTCACCCCAACCAGAGAAGCGGCTGGCAACTGGTGGCTTCCGGGGGAGGAATACTTAGTTCTCTTAGAAATGTAAAAGAAAGTAGATTCAGCAGATTTAAGGGGCAAGGAAAAGTGTTGGTGAATAAGGCATAAATTGCAGGGGAGGGAAAGGGAAGCGGCTTTGACAAAGCACATTATACACATGTATAAGATACTCAAAAAGGGGCATAAAGTTGAGGGGGATATATTCGTGGGGACAGGAGTAATTGACAGAGGAAACTATATGTATGAAATTGTCAAGGATAAAGGAAAATTATCATAACAAATTAAATTTTTAAATCTTAGAATAAAAAATAAAACCTATCGTTAAAAGCAGAAAAGAATGAAAGAGGACTAGTACCCTATTGAAAAAGCGCCTTCTAGGACATCTGTTCAGCTATGTTCACAGCAGCACTATTTGTAATAGCCAGAACCTGGAAGCAACCCAGATGACCTCAACCGAAGAATGGATGGAGAAAATGTGGTACATTTACACAATGGAGTACCACTCAGCAGAAAAACACAATGGAATCCTGAAATCCTCAGGCAAATGGATGGAACTAGAAAAAACCATCCTGAGTGAGGTAACCCAGTCACAAAAAAAGGAACATGTTATGTACTCACTCATGTATGGGTTTTAGACATAGAGCAAAGGATAACCGGCCTACAATCCACACTGCCAGAAAAGCTAAGAAACAAGGACCCTAAGAGAGACACACATGGTCCCCCAAGGTGAAAGGGACAAGATCTCCTGAGTAAATTGGGAGCATGGGGGCAATGGGGAGGGAGGTAGAAGAGGGAAGAGGAGAGAAGGGGAGGGGCAAGAAGAACATGAGGGAGCAGGAAGGTCGAGGTGGGGGAAGAACAGAGAAGGAGACCAAGGAAAGAGATACCTTGATAGAGGGAGCCATTATGGGATTGATGAAAAATCTAGCACTAGGGAAATTCTCAGGAATCCACAAGGATGACTCCAACTAACAATCTAAGCAATAGTGTCAAGGCTACCTTTAATGCCCTTCCCCTATAACGAGATTGATGACTGCCTTATATGCCATCATAGAGACTTCATCCAGTAGCTGATGGAAGCAGAAGCAGAGGTCTACAGCTAAGCACCGAACTAAGATCATGGAGTCCAGTTGAAGAGAGGAAGGAGTGATGAGCAAAGGGGTCAAGACCACACTGGAGAAACCCAGAGACAGCTGAGCAAGGGGGAGCCCCCAGACCCCAGTCTGACAGCCAGGGAACCTGCCTAAGACCCAACCAGGCCCCCCGAATGTGAGTGTCAGCTGGGGGCCCTGGGCAGTCTGTGGGGCCGCTGGCCGTGGAACCAGTATTTATCCCTAGTGCAGGAACTGGGTTTTTGGAGCCCACTTTGGAGGGATAATCTCTCAGCCTAGTTACAGGGGAGAGAGCCTGAGTCCTGTCCCAAATGATGTGACAGTCTTTGATGATTCCCCATGGGAGGCTCTTTGAGGAATGGATGGAGGATGGTGGGGGGAGTGGGAGGATGGGAGGGAGAGGGAACTGGGATTGGTATGTAAAACAAGATTGTTTTTAATTTAAATAAAAAATTAATTTAAAAAAATTCTTATCCTTAAAAGGTATCATTTTATAAAATATGGCACTATGTAATCTCTAATTTTCAGAATCCCATTAATTATTTACTACCCTAACATATTAAAAAAAAAACTGGCATTACATTACTGAAAAGCACACATCTTATAAACAGGATATGTGGGCACCAACTATGGTAAAACGCCCAGTCTAATGTTCTTTTTGCTACACCACAGCCAGCAGCAACCACCTCAAGCCTATTTCCAGGCTGTCCCTGGCTGCTGGGTATATGTGGGGACCGGGCAATCTCAGTGCACAGGAAGCAATGACAGCTCATGTTTGGTCAGTAAAGATGGCCGAAAGCCTCCTTAACTGCTGCTCCAGGCTACCTCTAGCTGACCTTTGTGCTATTTACATTGATTTCAGTGTGCCACCTTAAACAGAAAACTTATTTCTCAGGTGACAGTATTGAGTGATAGGAACATGAGAGTATAACAATGAGATACATTTTATTACATGGTTGGCATGGTATACTACTGAAAATTTGTAACTGACCTGTAATGGAAGTACCAGCAGCTCCTCCTTTGCCAAAGTAATTTTTCTTCTTGTGAGAGTTGTTACAATAGCCAGGGACAGCAGAAGAACCAGCAAGCCCGCACCCATTCTGTTTCAAAACATAATTCACATTAAAACTTTTCTAAAGAAGCATACTAAAGACAGCATGTGAATACAGGAGATACTTTACTCCAATGCAGAACTCTAAAACACTTTCAGTAATCCACAAGAAGTAGTAAGGCTGGCAGAGGAATGGTGGGAAATAGCAGGGCTACTTGGAACCACATTCCACAATTTTGATATATTTACCTCAATGCCTTATTTCTCTATTCATTCTTTTTCATTCACCACTGCTACGCTTCCTAATCTGAATGGGGCGAATACCCAGAAAAGAACATAAGCGAGAGCTGAACAGATGACTGCCATCACCTGCCACGCAGATTCTGACACTGAGAATTCATTCACAGAGAAGAACAGAGCACTCCCATCAGGCCAAGCAGCTTCATCATTCACTGCCCTTGGTATCCCTCAGCTGGCATGGCTGTAAAGTAGGACAGTTATAGGTGTGGAAATTAGGATAACAGACCAGTAAGATAACGATGGAGTTTATCAGGAGAAAGTAACTTACACAGGAAACAAGTGACTATCGCATCTCTCCAGCCCCCCAAGGATGCAGACCCTGCCACCCTGATGCTCTCTGTGACCTGAAGGGGTTTCCAAGCCAAAAATCAATCCTTTGCTGGTCATGTGGGCACCTGTGACCACACCCAAAAGGGCGTGGTCAGTGCTATAGTGCTACAGGTGAGGGGGATTAATATATCACTACAGGCAGTGGTCCATAAGGTGTTGGGGGGAGGGGATACATCACTGTACAAGACCATCAGGAAGATGGTCACTAAAGTCACAGGCAACAAATATCAAAGAATAATCTGAGTAATATAACTGAAAATATGTTCAAGACACAATCTATAACTCTAAAAGAACTGAGGAAAAATGAGCTTGTTAGAGAAATAAGTAAACACAAATGCATGATTAGATACAGGCCAAGAATATGGTTTTTTTTCACTCTTTAAGATCTTTGCTCTTGAAGGGCCTGCCACCCAGCTCCCAAATAAATCACACATGGAAGTTTATTCTTTCTTATGAATGCCCAGGCTTAGGTAGGCTTGTTTTTAACCAGCTTTTCTTAACCTAGACTGCCCGCCTTTTGCTTCTGGGCCTTTTCTTTTCTTACTTCTGTATATCTTACTTTCTCTATTACTCTGTGGGTGGCTGTGTGGCTATGTGGCTGGCCCCTATTCTCTCTGCCAGCCAGCCCCGCCTATCCTTTCTCTTACCTCACTATTGGCCATTCAGCTCTGTATTAGACCAATCAGGTGTTTTAGACAGGCAAAGTCACACAACTTCACCAAGTTAAACAAATGCAACATAAAGGAATGCAGCACATCTCTGCGTCACTAAACAAATGTTCCACAGCATAAACAAATGTAACACATCTTACAATAATATTCTACAATTGGCATCGTTATAATTTTTCAAATAATCTGAGTCATAAGAAAAAACATCATGACTTTAAGACGTATTATAATAAAACTCAAGAAAATCGCTATACAAAATAAAAATTTTTGCTTTTTTTCTTTCAGAAAATAAAATGCATCTTAAGTCACTTGCAACACTTTCGCTTTAGTGCACTGGCTCACCTAACCTGACAGTTAACTCTACACCTTCTTATTTTATCCTTAAATGTTTCGTGTATCTGCTTCTCTATCTAGAGATAGAAGTTCCTCCATGCACTAAGAATAAAATAAATTGTACATAATCACAGGAAGCCAACAGGAACTTAACACTAATAGCAATTTAAATCAAGTTTAGAGAGAAACACCATAATTTTCAAAAACATAAATTTGCTTTCTGAATTAGTCTTTAGTGAAATGTACACGTGGCAAATTTCTATGGAGATCGTTTATGCAATTTATTCCCCTTTCAGCATATTATAACGTCCCTAACTCTGTCAATGCTGCTTGAGCAGGACAAATGGATAAGTGGCTGATAGAAGGAAAGAAAGGGCCTTACAGAGACACCAAACTCACAGGACAATCTACATAATAATATATAAATACATAAAAGTATTTGACTTTAGTTTCTCACATGCTACTGTATTCTTCATGAGAGTTCCAAAACTGGCCCTGCCCCAAATGATGTGTCGGACTTTGAAAATCCCCCGTGGAAGGCCACACCCTCCCTGGGGAGCAGAAAGGGATGGAATGAGGAGGGGGAGGGCAGGTGAGGAGGGGAGGGAGAGGGAACTGTGATTGACATGTAAAACAAGCTTGTTTCAAATTTAAATAATTTTTTTTTTAAAAAAAAAATTCTAAAACTTTGACTTAGCAATTCTGTAATATAAGTATAGCTTAGATGGTAGGGTCTTATAATTCAGTACAAGCTTAGAAACTACTTTCCTAAAACAACTCCGTATCTAGCTCAAACTGGTTTTGTTGTAAGAAATCAGGAAAACTAACCAACAAAGAAATGCAAAGAATTTCTTAAATCATTATGTAGCTTGGGCCTCTTGTGGGACTCCTAACGGAGCAGGGGCTGTCTCTAAGTCTTTTAGTGGCTTTTGGGACCCTATTCCTCATACTGCATCACTATATCCAGCCTTCATGCATGGAGAGGTGCTTAGTCTTACTGCAACTCGACACGCTCATGTTTTGTTGATACTCATGGGAGACCTGTCCTTTTCTAAAGAGAAGCTGAGGAGGAATGGAGTGGGGGGTGGAAACAGAGGGGGTGTGGGGAAGGACTGGAAATAGAAAATAGAGGGGAAACTGTAGCCAGGACGTAAATAAATAAATGTTTACTAAAAAAAAAAAAAAAAATAATAATTTCTTAAATTAACAGTCACTTAAAAATATTGAGTTAATATTTCTACTGTTAAAAAATATACTCCCCATCTTTTAAAGATTAGGTGAAAATATTTTTTAAACATGCCCATAGTGAACCAAGCAGTGGTGATCCATACCTTTAATCATAGCACTCCAGTGGCAGAGGCAGATGGATCTCAGAGTTCAAAGCCAGCCTGGTCTACAGAGCAAGTTCCAGAACAGCCAGAGATACACAGAGAAACCTTGTCTCAAAAAAAAAAAAAAAAAAAAAAAAAAAAAAAAATGCCCAGAGAATTCCACTGTAAGCAGAAAAGATGACTATATGATTTGTAAAAAGAATGGAGTGGGATGGTATACCTACCTGCCTAATTTCAGTACTCAGAAGGCTGAGGCAGGAGACTTGAGTATGAGGCCAGCCTGCGCTACATATACAGGTAAAGCGACTGCAGCAGCTAGATGAAACAAAGATAATTTAGTGACTTACACACAGCCATACAAGGACACACACACACACACACACACACACACACACACACACACACACACACACACACACGGTGGGGAGGAGTGCCAGCAGGTTACCTAATAACTTAAAAAACGTAAAAGCAAAGGCAACCAATTATTTTGAACAATTGTCTACGTCATGTTGTGGAGATATATATCATCAACATTGGGAACATCATACGTAAAGCATAAAGTTTTTGTTTTTATACAATTTGAATGGTTAAACACAGAAGTTTTCCAGCAAGTACAAGAAAGATCCTGGGGTGGATTCCTAGTTCTGCAGACAAAACAAAACAAGACAAGAGTGGCTCTGCCCTCCCTTGCTGAACCCTGCCACAGGAGAGCTACCTCCCACTCTCAGGAGATGACCCCACTGCTCACCATGGGCATGGGAGAACTGGCCCAACTAGCCTGGGCCTAGGAGAGCTGTTTCAGGCCCTCACCTGAGGAGACAGTCCCAGTGAACCCCGATGGCCACATCCTGGGCTTTGATTTGGCGCACCCTAAAATGCACCCCCTGTATGACCTGTGCATGAAGGGGTGATAACCACAGGATCCCTGTGACTGGGGACAACAGCAGGATATCCCAGAGGAATTCAGTGAGGGTCCAGTGATGATGCTGTGCCAGAGACCAGAGGTCTCAAACCAAACCAATGACTAAAACACTTGGGCCTGGGCTGATTGGACAAAATGTATAATGCATGACACATGGCAGCTCCCAATGTCACCAGGATGAATGAAGAGGTATTGGAAAGATGGAGGACCGAGATAGCTTTTCTTGTTTGTTTTGAATTATTTTTTTTGGGGGGGAGAGTATGCTGTAGGAGGTGAGGGGAAAATATGGAGAGATTGAGGGGTGAACAGGATTAGGGTATCTGATATAAAATTTCCAAAGAATTATGTTTAAAAATTAAAAATGAGATTAAAATAAAAATAATGTAAAGCTTTCAAAATAAATAGATTTTCCCCCCATGGAAAAAAATTTTAATTCAAATAGGACAAATTTTCATTTGTCAATGGCATTTGGTTATGGACACACTCAAAGGATATACTTCAGCAACAGGACACTGTCACAGCTAACTAAGGTTTTGACTGATTCTATAATATTCAAAATAAAAAAATAATCTAGTCTAGGGGAAGGGGTGAGTTTTAAGTTATTGCCTGATGCAATTTCATTGCCTGTGAAGGTCTGACAGCATGTCCAGGGAGATCATGCCTCTCAAGCGATAGGCTAAGATCATAACTAGTAATTTTACATTACTATTTCAAGATTATCCATGCAATGCTAAGCTTAGAACGAAGGTGTTGGGGCTGGAGAGGTGGCTCAGCAGTCAAGAGCAGTTCCTGCTCTATAGGAGGATGGCAGTTCAGTTCCTAGCACCCACACAGCAGGCGCTCCCAGTGACTACAACCCCAGACCCAAGGGGTCTCACATCCTCCTGTGGCCTTCATGAATACCCACATACATATGGCATGTACAGGCGCACGCACACACACACACACACACACACACACACACACACACAGAGAGAGAGAGAGAGAGAGAGAGAGAGAGAGAGAGAGAGAGAAAGGGGTGGGAGGGATGGAGAATTGTTTTTAAATGTCATAGTGTCAGTAGAGGATGAATTCTATTGAAATGGAAAACAATAATGTACGTACACTAGAGAGAGATCTGGCTTTCTACCCACAACAGGCATCAGTGGGAACACTGCCAGAAGCAAAGAGAAGAGAGCCCAACTCAGGCAGGTGATCTACAATCAAGAAAAAAAAAAATATTTAGACAATTATGGTATAGAAATCTGTTTTTTAGCATCTCATATAGGACATGAATGTGAAACTGAAAGAAAACCTGTCTGGTATTTACTGTGGAAAGTAACATTGTGTTAGTTACTTTTGTAATGACAAAATGTATGGCAGTGAGCGACTTAAAGAAGGAAGGATGTGTTTTCCCTTGTACTACTGTCCATCACGGCAGGGGGAGTTATGACAGCCCCAGCTTGTGGCAGTTGGTCACATTGCAACACGTCAGAAAGCAGAGAAAAGTGAATGTTGCTGCTCACGTTGCCTTCTGATAGTCCCGGTAGTTCAGGGAGGACTTTCCACCTTGATTAACCTACTTTAGAAATCCCTCAGACACTCCCTGAGACGTGTTTCTATAGAATTGCTAATCCCATCAAGATGACACTCAAGATCAACCATTATAAATACGGTTACCTTAAATAATATTTACTATCTGCTTTGGGTTTATTGTTAAAAAAAAATGTTGATGCATGTACTTTGATCAAATGCCCTCCCAACTTTGTGCGTTTTTTAAACCCACTTAACGCTACTTGCTTAGAAAAGAAGTGTGTGGATAGGGCAAAGGGAGGTTACTCCTCACACCCCCTAGGCCCTTCTGCTGCTTCCAGCATGCCCAGACTTCTCCCTCATGGAGGTACTAGAGGCTCTGTGAGTGCTCCAAACAAGCCAGTACTGCCTTCACGGCCTTTCTAGACCTCTGGCTCATTCCAACAGGAACATTCTATATGTGTACATCAGAGAGACCGAAAGTTGTTATCAACCCTCCTGTCCAAAGGACCAGGCCCTTCACATGAGAGTGCATGCTACTCCTTTGTTTACTAAACAATTCTTTGAACCAAACATATCAACAAAAAGTATCCTCAGGTCTGTCCTGCCCACATGAGTACTTATACCTTTGCTCGGGTCCACAGCTGAGTGACAAATGGCCAACCGGCAAACACAATCAATCCGGCTGTCAGCATGTAGCGGTAGAAGAAACTTAACACCTGGTGACACATTGCCAAGAAAGTGAAGAGTGAGGTCACTGAAGACGGGTACCACGAAAATGCAAGACATTTGGAGATGCAGCCTATTCAGGTACTTACCAGCACTTCAATCCCCAAGACAAAGACGAGTAAGTAGACAACAAACCGGCTCAGAGGAAAAGTCAGCAGTGACTCAGCCAGGTCTTGAACAACTTGATGTCTGTTTGAGGAGATGATTTACAAAAAGATTACTTCTAACTTGCAAAGCACCTTAAAATAGAAACATAGTGAAAAAAATAAAAGCTGCTCAAAGCTAAAAAAAATTCTAGAAATTTCTATTCACAATTTTTTTTTGAATTTCAGATAAAATATAGCAATTTGTTTCAATGACTTTGCTTACTTTTATTGGTAGAATTCTGTAAGTATTCTGGGGAGGAAATGATGACAAGCATTTGCTCAGTTTTTATAAATATTAATGACTTATTATTATTATTGTTTGTTTGTTTGTTTCTCAAGACAGGGTTTCTCTGTGTAGTTTTGGCTGTCCTAGAACTAGCTCTGTAGACCATGCTGGCCTCAAATAGAGATCTGACAGCCTCTGCCTCCCAAGGGTTGGAAGTAAAGGTGTGTGCCACCACTGCCTGGCTCAATAAATGATTTTTGTATGGTCTTAGTTTAAACATTACAGATAATCTAGAAAAATAAAATAACGCAATAGTATAGAAACTGAAAAATATATATATTAAAACCAACCTGGCTAATATTATCTCTACCACAGAGGTACATCCACAGTCTTAGTAGGGAAAGTCTTAATTGCATTTATTAACTTTTGTGTTTCTTCATTCATCTATTTGCAATGCCAAGGACTAAACCTAGGTAGGGCATTACACATACCAGACATCCACTGTGACACTAAGCTAAAACGCCAGCCTTTCATTTAAACTTTATTTAGTCAGGCTGGGCGCAAAACCCCAATGTTTGTGCCTTAGCCTCCTGAGGAGATGGGATTGTAGACATGCGCCACTATTCCTAGCTTAATTGCACTTCTAAATTGAGCCAAATAACCTTTTCCAAACCCAATTTAAGATGTCATTAATTGTACACTAATTGTAATTGAGAATTTATAACCACCAAAAATGCATTATATACTTGAGTACATTTTACATTTCATCACTGAGAAGAAAAACTTAGCATTTGTTGAGCATTAAGTAGGTAATTACAAAAGGCCAGCGTCATTTGGTTTATGACACTTTTCTGATTGAAAACAATGGCTGCAGAATAGAATGTTATCACACTGCTAAGTAGCCACCTAGGAAAGAAAAGTCAGAACCACAAGGAGAGTATCTCTTTTGTTTTCTACTGTGAATAAGAAGCATACAAGATTAAATGAAGTCATCGTGAGGGTTTTTAGTATAGAAGAGCAGGTTAAATATTCCCTTTTTATTTACTTGTTCAGTGTGTGTGTGAGTGTGTGTGTGTGTGTGTGTGCGTGAGTGTGAGTGGATGTGTACCCCATAGTGTACACGTGAGGGGTCAGAGATGATCATGTAGGGATCTGTTCACTCTTTCACCACACGGGTCCCGGGTGCCCTGACCCATGCAGCCATCTAGTCAGCTTGAAAACTCACTTTTTATATTTTATTTTCTATGTAACCTATTAAAAGGGTAAAATAAAATATAACTGAAAAATCACATCTTCCCTTAAAATTTAAATATACATATGTTACCTCTACAATTAGGCTATTTAATAATTCACAAGGAGGTTCTACAGTAGAGCAGAATTTTCTTCCTGCCCTAGGAAACCTTTTAGAAAATTGTGAAACTGGAGGAATGATGTCAGAAAAAAAAAACAAAACAAAACTATGAGCTAACTAGGCAAACCAAGAGCCTTATTCCTTTTAGATGGTAATGTCACAGCATGTTCTTTGATCAGTGCCTTTTCCCCTTGTATCTAAAGATATTTGAGGCATTCCCATGTTTTAGTTTTTATATTTTAATATATCAATATTTTTAAGCCATATTTTCAGAAGATAGAATAATCCAGACCCTGCTTCTGTCTTCCCAGTACTGGAATCACAGCACACACTATCACGCTCAGCCTATTATGCAATCTTAAAGATGCTTTTAAAAGTGTGTGAAACTGAAGGAGTGCCTTTCTTTCCAGCCGAATGTAACAGCACGATCACTTCTACACTATGCTGAGGAAGTCCATATACAACCACAGCACATGTGAATAGTGTGCTTGTCAGTATACATCGACAGGTCCCATATAATTACAAAGCTTCATTTATCTGATGACTAAGAAAAGGAGAAGTAAAGTGCATAAAAAGAAAAACATAAACCTTACAAAATAAGGATAAAACAAAATCTAGATGTAAGGTACTCATGACACAGCACACTAAAATCAATTGTTATTATTCTACGTTTTTTGTTTGAAGACCTCTCAAAGGAAAGAATGGGGTCATGCGGTGACATATTGCTTATGATCTTATAAAACATGCCTGAAGATCAGAATGCAAAGCTAGCCAGAGCCATAGAGGTCAGGCAGCGATGGCACACACCTTTAATCCCAGCAGCCACACTGGACAGCCCTAGAGAGGTATGTATTTCAGACAGGAGCTCAGGGTCTCTCTCATGTGGTACTCAGCATTCAGTCTCAGGAGCGGCTCAATGCAGATGCAAGCTGAGGCCAGCATTGCAAGCTGAGGCCAGCATTGCCCTCCCAGGCTGGAGTAGAGGTAAGAGCTAGTGACTGGCTGCTCTGCTGCTCTGATCTTTAGCTTTAACCTCACTATCTGTCTCTGGGCTTTTACTATTCATACTACAGGGTCACTGCTTCCTCAAATCAATACAAGTAAGGTTAAAAAAAAAAAAAAAAAAAAGGTAAGCCAAAAGGGATGTTTCATATGCAACATTATGCAGCTGTAAACAAAATCATAGAGTGTTTGGGCATTTGAGAGTATTATAGCCATCCTTTAAGACTTATGCTATAGAAAGCTTGTAGGGGGATATTCAATCACACTGGGAACTCCCTTGGGTTAGGAGGCTGAGTTAGCAACTAGTTGACAGAAAGTAATCATAGAGCATCAGAGGGCATCTGGAAGAGATAAAGAAGAGTTCTGAGTGGCATGGACCTTTCTGTTTTGGTAGAGGGCAGGGATGGGCTTTTTGAAAAATGCCAAAGAGATATGAATGGACTCAGACATACAGAATGAAAAGTTAAAAAGTCACATGGTAAAAAACAGATTGATATAAATGGATTAATATGTCATAAGAGCTAGTTATAAGCAAGCCTAAGCTAAAGGCCAAGCTTTCATAATTAATAATAAGTCTCCATGTTGTTTATTGTGAGCTGGCAGCCCAAAGAAAAGTTCATCTACAAAATCGAATGCATTTTAAATGCAGATTTAACTGCCAGTGGAGTGGAAAATAAGGCAGAAAGGCATGCTACTTACTCTCTTAGAACTGCATACCATATCGGCACTGGCAGCAAGCAATACACGTAGTAAGTCCAGGGACAGACTTGGATCAGCAGGAAGCATGCCACTAAAACACCAACAGCGACAAAGCTACACGCCAAGAGATGGTGTGGCTTCTGAAAATGAAACACAACATTCAAATACATCCAAACCCATGTCAACTGATAGTTTTTAATATTTCACAAAGGGACAATGTCTTCTTCCTATGCTTGAACTAGATGATTAATCAGAATTCTTCCAGAATGAAACTAGCTATCCTAGAATGGTTACCATCAAGCAATTCTCAGCTGAAAACTGGCAATGGCCCTAAAGTTGGTTTGTAAATACCTCATTTTAAACTCTGAACATAGTTCACTCACCTCCCTCCCATTGCTTGAACACAGTTGGCTTCTTCAGTTACAGCTGAGAAAGAAATTCCCTACATGTAAGTCACTAATGCCAGCTCCACAGACCACCAAGGCCTCTCGGTACTCTGGGCCAGGTGTAAGTGCAAGGATCAGGGACACACAGGCTGAGAACAGGGAAAGGGGTACAGTTAAGGGAACATAATAATGCTAAGAACTAGAGTTCTAGGGTCTGAAGCAGTGGCTATAAAATGATATAGATTAAGCACTTTGAGAGAAGGAAGGAATTGGGGTGTGTGAAAAGGGGGCTCTTTGGGCTCCATTCCATGTTTTCTGTTTCCTCAGTCTGTTAGCCAAGGATAAATGCAGTAGGAATTAAAGAACCTCTCTCTGGAAATACACAAATTTAGGGAGGAAGGAGACAATATTAACTATTTCCCATCTCTTTTGGATGTTTTTCTCTACTGCATATAATATCATTTAGTAAGAATCAAGGAGAAGTTAGAATATCAATGCAAAAAGAGGCTGCAATGCAGCATTGTAACTAAGAGCTCGAGGTTCAAGTTTATAAACTGGCTATGATGTCGTGATGGATGACCTTGGTTGTCAACTACACACACCTGGGAAGAGGGAAACTTCAAGTGAGGAACTGCTTACATCAGATTGTCTTGTGAGCACGTCTGTGAAGCATTTTCGTGATTAACAACTAACAGGGGAGGAATCAGTCCAAAGTACAAAGCTTTCCTTAGCCAGTTTTCTTCTATCCATAATATGGGAACAATAAATGTATACATATTTCTCAGTAATAAGAAATCAGATTCATAGGCCTTAACAAAGTAGCTAGCACATTACCGCTGCTGACTAAATGATGGCTATTATTACTTGTATTCTTCTTTGCATTAGTCTCAGTAATCATACAATCTCTCAATCAATAGCACGAGAAATGTGTGACCAATATCATGTAGGGTGGCCACATGTGTTTGTTTCTTACCTACTTTATTTAATACCAAGATTTTTCATGGTAAAATCTGTATGTCATATTTCTCTGTAGAACACCTAGCATTGTACTATATACCCAATTAAATACTGACTGCACTATAAAGCTAACAAAAAGAACTACCAACTATAAATTCTTATCACATTAACAAAAATCTCATTTTTTCTAACGTCTTGATCAGCAAGAGGGAAAAAACAGTCGTTGGCCCAGATCGCAGACCCTGCACCCTGCACCCTGCACCCTGACTGGGAGGCAGTTACAAAGTGAGTTAATTCCCCTAGCTCAGTCTCATCTTTTGTAAATAGAAATTACAGTGCACAGTTAGAGATGAAGATGGCAGTATTCATTTCAAGGACTCAATAGAATTTCTAGATCTCTCCATTTCCAAAACATAGTCATTTGTGTATTCCTCTAGCATGTAGGCAGTAGAATTCCAAATACATCTCCCCATTATCAAAACATAGTCATTTGTGTATTTCTCTAACATATAGGAAATAGCTCCCTTTACAGCCAACTTCAAATACATTAAAATAATTAAAATTACATGGAAGAAATTATTTAAGATGTGTTACAGAACTATAAAAACTCAAAATTAAGCAATAATGTTCTTCCCTACATTAAAAACAAGTAAAACATAAAATGGTAAAAGTTACCATTAGAAATGTTTATAGACTGTTATTATTAAAAACAGACTAGGATTTGGACATGGTAATAATCGTTACAGAGAATAAAGCAAAGGAGATAGGGTACTCTGCCTGGTAAATGACAGTCAGCAATACACTTTAAGATGGCAAAGTGTGTTACAGCAATAAAACCGTGTATGCACTGTTACAGTCTCTATTTAGAGCACTGGTTCTCAACTTGAGGGTCATGGCCCCTTTGAGCATTAAAAGGACCCTTTCACAGGAATCACCTAAGATAACTGGAAAACACAGATATTTACATCACAGGAGCAAAATTACAGTTATGAAGCAGCAATGAAATGATTTTCTGGTTGGAGTCACACAGCATGAAGAACTCTATTAAAGGATAGGCTGAGAACCACTGGTTTATAAGTTTGACCTCTTCCTTTCATTGAAAGGGTAGTAAGCTAGGCTTGTATTCTAAAACCAAGGGAAAGAACACACTCTGGAAATGTATAATGTCAGAAAGATGGAGGAGGAAGAAAGTCAAAGGAGCATAAATATTACTTTGTTTAATTTTTTATTAATTAATGTTCAAACAATGATTTTATTGTTTGCCTAGCTATTAATACGAGATAACTATAAATATACCACTTTGGAGAGGTTAGGGTTTTTTTTCTGGTTTTTTTGAGACAGGGTTTCCTGTGTAGCCCTGTTTTTTTAGAACATACTCTGCAGACAAGGATGACCTTGAACTTACAAGTCCTGTGATGAAAGCAGTGCACCATCACGCCTGGCCTGAAGTGGGGTTTTCTTTTGTTTTTAAAAGATTTATTTAGTATTTTTTTTATTAATGTGTATGGAGGTCAGAGGCAATCAGATTCCCTGGAACTGAAGTTACAGGTGATTGAGAGCCATCTGATATGGGCACCAGAACCAAACTCAAGTCCTCAGCAAGAGCAGTAAGCATTCTTCACCTCTGAGCCATCTCTCCAGGTCCTGATGTCCTTTTCTAATAACCTATTCTAGAAGTATGTGGAACACTTAAATTGAGTAGTTATTTTTAAAAAACAGAAACTCTGAATCATTAAGACTACTCTGCTCTTAAATTACAGAGCAGTTATCAATGCATCCTTAGCCACTGAAAAAACAAACACAACAGAAAACACAGCAACACAAAGAAAGCAAAGGACAGACACATCAGTTCCCTTACTCTTACAATTTCACATTCTACGAACTCATTATACTTGATTTGGTTCGGTTTCTTAGTCCTTATTCCTGGTGACATTGATGCCATACCCGAAACTTTGTTACATCTTCTGAACTTACCTTAGCTTCCTTCCCAGCACTTCTTGTGAGATTAGAATGAGACTTGAGGATTAACAAAGAAGCATAAGATGTCCATCCTACAAAACCAACTGCAACACTGATGCCCAAAAAGAATCTGTCGTAAGTGTGATAATAGGACAATCCTTTCAATGCAAGATCAATCAGTTCCTCACAGAGGGAGACCTATGGGGATAAACATAAGTAGATCTTGCAGTAAAACAATGAAAACCAAGTATCCCAAACCAGGAAAACTGGCCTTCCATAGAACCAAACCTCTAAGTAGACTGGAGTGAATAACTACGGATGAGATGATTAGCAACAGATTTCAAGTGCGAGGTTCTTAAAAATTATGAAAACAAAAACCCTCAAAATAAAACAGATTCTTCAATTTGGGAAGCTAGGGCATGTTAGTGGAAACTGTCTGTGATCTGTGTAGTGCTGGGAAGTACTTCACTACACAAAAATGGTCCTCTTCACTACACAGAAATGGTCCTCAGATGACACACAGAAGAAATGAATCTAGCACATATCCCTAAAAATGGAAAAACCCATGTGTGTATACATATGTAAGCATGTGTGCATATGCATTATATTTTACTTCCATTATAAAGCATCACCAAAATAACAATATGTTGGAGGAGAAGAATAGTTTAGTGGGCCGAGGATGTAATTTAGTGGAAGAACACTTGCCTAGCAAATGAGAGGCCCTGGGTTCAAACACTATCAAGGAAGAGCATAAAATTTAAAATCAGAGTTAAAAAATTACAAATATACAGATGGGTAAGTATCTAGACAATGTTTTAAAACAGAAGGAGAATTTTTAGTGACATATGCTGATATATGCCTATATTTACAACTGCTTTAGAGGCTGAGGCAGGAGAGTTGAAAATTTGAGATCAGTCTGGGTAACTGTAATTATGTCTAAAAAAGTAAAACAGGAAACACATTAATAAATTAAACAAATAAAATAGGACTGGGGATGCAGCTCAGTGGTAGAGAACTTCCCTAGCATGCACAGAACCTTATGTTTAACCAACCCCCTGTAACAGAGATACAACACAACACAGTCCAATACAGAAAAACTGGGGTAGAAGCAGGCAGAGTCAAAGCTTTGCTATGAGTGTTGTAGTGTATATGGCAAATGGGATGCTCTGCACTTCATACGAGGGTGAAGGTTACTTGGTTTATTCATATAAAAAAAAAAAAAAAAAGAAAAAAAGAAAAAAGAAAAAAAAAAAAAAAAGCAATACAGTTCCTTTGTAAAGCCAAACTAGGAAGCTGCAGTCACTGATGTCTGAAGTAAGGATAAGCATCTCTGAGGCTAAAGGCCCTCCTCGGGGAACACCCCCACACTGCCTGGTATCCCACAGATAGCTCACCCTGCCCTGACCCCAAGGCCCATCGACTTACCACTTCATCAAATTTTTCTTGTTTTATGTAAGACCTTGCTTTTCTTAAAGCATCCAACTGTTGAGAATCAGAGAGCAACCTAAAGGAAAAATAAGAGTTTTACTGCTTCCTCATTTGGTTTCGATCAGGTCTTGCTTTTTATTCTTTTTTGAAATTAAGAAAAAACTGAGAAACAAAACCATGTAAAAATGGAAAAGAAAGGAAACATTAGGTTAAGCTGTATGTTGCTGGCTATCTGAATGCCTCTAAGGAAGAGATTATGGTTACACTTAGTTTTCTTGACCCCAGGATTTCCTTTTATTTTTAAAGTTTTTGGTAGTGCAGGAAAGCTTTGAACATGATGAGCAAGTGTCCTGCAGGTGAGTTATACTCCCACCCCGCCACAAAGCTTCACACACCAACTACATAAACCATCATTCTACAGAGATGTAAGACCATAACAAAGAAATTCTGATTAAATCAAGGTAATTCATAGACCACTGAGCTCCATTACTAGCACTGCTGTGTGTGTGCTCACAAAGATAGGGTAGCACAGTAACTTATTAAGTGCACTTTGTATGCCTGATCAAAACAGGGCCTGAGAATTAAAGCACATTTAAAATGTGCTCCAGCAGAGCCTAACCAACAATGGAAGTTAATGAATAACTGGAACCTATTCAGCATCCTTGCACTACAATGTGTTCAGAGAAATACCCAAAACTACACAAGCCCAAAGGCATTATTAACATTATAGAATAAAGAAAGCAACAAACATCATCAGAACAATTGCCTTTATGAAATTAATATGTATGCTTAAATGCAAATTTGAATATATACTGCTGAACGAAACCCACATTCCTAAAGTGAATACCATTCATCAATCACACTTAACAACACACAAAAATATACTAAAGGCATTTGTGACATATGACAATGACTATGACAACTGTAAATAATTCAACACATCATAATCATTTGTTTTTCTAGTGGTTTCCCATCTCTAATGAGACTTAACTTTGATGAGAGGTCAATCTTTTAAATAATTTAAGATGGAACAGTCTAAAATTTTAGAATTTGAGACTCTTCTCTAGATAATACACATAATCCCAAACCTTGCATTTTTCAAAAAAGTTCACGATCCACAAAAGACTACCTATGAACTTTCTTGCATTCCACGGGACTCCCTGATTAAGCATTGATGTTGAAGGGCTAGAGAGATGAGTCAGTGGTTAAGAGCACTTGCTGCTCTTCCACAGGACCTCAGTTTAGTGCCCAGCATCTACATTGGGTGGTGTGCAACTGCCTATGACTGCAGTTTTGGATGTTCAATGCTCTAGATACCATGCGTGCGTGCGCGCGCACACACACACACACACACACACACACACCACTTTTCATTTGTCATCTATCTTGCGTTCACATCTGAGCTCTTGTCCATAAAGATCTTTATGCCTTCTAAAATCGAATCTTTATGGCCCATTCCAAATCTCTCCTCACACCATTACCACTTTACTGTGGGTTAATAATCAGCTTATTCACATTCAATTACATTTTTACCTCATGTGGGCCAAGATAATGTCTTATATTTGCATTAATTTTCACAATAATACTTAGCAAAGTGCTAAGCACACATAATGAATCAGTAAGTCTTAGTGGGTCAAAAAAATTCTACCAAAGAGCCTGCTGTAACACATGCCTATAGCTCTCGGATCTATTTATTTATTTACTTACTTATCTATATATTTTTTTTATTTTGATATGCCCTTTACTTTCTCTTTTTTTGTTTGTTTTGCATTTCTCTTTTATAATATTTTTTATTTAAATTTAAAACAAGCTTGTTTTACATGTCAATCCCAGGTCCCTCACACTCCTGTCCTCCCCTGTCCCCTCCCAACACCCATCCTATCACCTTTCTGCTCCCCAGGGAGGGTGACGGAGTCTTCAAAGTCTGTCATATCATTTGGAGCAGGGCCCAGGCCCTCCGCCATGTGTATCCCTCTATGTGGAATGGGCTCCAAAAGTCCATTTGTACACTAGGGATAAATACTGATCCATTACTGATCCAATACTGATCATAGCCTGCCCAGTCCTCCTAACTAACACCACATTAAGAAGATCTGAGTCGGTCCTATGCTCATTTCCCAGCTCTCAGGTTTCAAAGGATCTCAGGTTTGGGACCAGCCTCAGCTTCATAGCAGGTTTCAGACAAAATTGAGCATGGAGTGAGACTCAGGCATATTTGTTATGTTTAAAATCCTATTATAATTCTGTAAGCCTGTAAATAAGAAAAAAAATCAAAGAATGGTATAGTCATAGTGTCATTCTAAAAATACTATGGACATGCTGAAGTAAATAAAAAAAAATAAAAGAACGAAAGAACAATTTTGAAAAATTATTTTTGTTTCATTATAGTATATGAGGAAGACTCATGTAATGAGCCAGGAATGATAACATATGTTTAAGATATATCAAAATTTTGGCATGTCCATGTCATGGCTCATCTGAATGGTCAGTATGATAGCATTTAGAATTATTTGAGACTGCAGTTCTCAACCTGTGGGTCATAAAAGACATCCTACATACCAGATACTTACATTACAATTCATAACTAGAAAAACTACAGTTATGAAGTAGCAACAAAATAATGTTATGGTTGGGGGTTACCACAGCATGAGTATTAAAGATTCACAGTATTAGGAAGGTTGACAATCACTGATCTAAGTTTCCAACAAATTGAGAAAGAGATTAAAATAAATTTTCTCTGTATCACATATCACATAAAGTCCAAATTATAAGGTATGTGTTCATAATTTATATTAAAAAGATAAACAAAATAAAGAAAAAATAATACCCAAAGTGGTATGGGGGCAGATTTAATAAAGCCATAGGTAAATTCTAACAAATGAGGGAAATCTGGAAGCTTAACAAGAACATATCTTGACATTACACAAAATGGAAACAACTGAAAACAGAAAGATTCAACTCTGTAATTTTATTTCCTACTGAATAAACAATCTAAAGAAGCATGGGAAAAAGTTAAACTAGGTTGTATGTTACTGGAGCTTCCTGTCCCACCAGGTCCCACAGATGCTATATTAATTATAAAACTGTTGGCTGATGACTAGGGCTTCTTAATGGCTAGCTCTCTCTTAAACTTTAATCTAAACTATTAATCTATGTATTCCCACAAGGCCTTATCTTAGCAGAGAATACCTGGTGCATCCTAGCCTCCCAGTCCCTCCATGGCACCTTCCACAGTCCCTCTCTGCCTACCTTTCCCAGAATTCTTCTCTCCTCGCCCAGCCTATCTTCCTGTCTCTATTGACCAAACAGTATTTTAATCATCAACCACTAAGAGAAACATATAAAGAAGGACATCCCCATCAGTTGTTGACACTAAGATTCTTGCTATACTATTATTTAAGGTTATTATTATTTACATGAAATATAATTAAAATAAAATATGCTAGTAGATGGGATATATACACATATGCATTATGTACACATGCCATATATAGAAAGACATCACAAACTGCAACTTCTCTTTGAGAAAAGACTAAGGTTGGAGCACTGGGGTGGGAGGGAAGCAACATTTTTATCATTGGCTCTCTAACTTGAAATGTGTGCATATATTATTTTTCTCCATAACATCTTAATTAACAAGTTTTAATAAAATCCTTTAAATGTTGAAATTTAACCATAGCTTTAGGCTGTCAGTGAATTTTCAGATATCAGTACAGCCACCAGACACAAGAAAGTGTGGGAAATTATATATTAAATTAAAAGTCAATTTGAGAGCACAGAGGCAATCAAGAATTAAAGGGGTAAGAGCCTAGAGAGCCGGGAACCAAAGATAACCGAAGTTTCTACAAATGTGACTCTTAAGACTGTGGAATATCCATTTACATTGTGTGAATATATGTCACTGTGATTAATTCAATAAAGAAGCTGGCTGGCCAACAGCTAAACAGAATAAGTTTTGGCAGGAGAGCCAAACCGAGAATGCTGGGAGAAAGAAGGGCGGTTTGAAGAGGCAAGAGCAGATGCAGAGAGAAGCAAGATGGTCATGCTGTACTAAGAGAAGATACCAAGTCACATGGCAAATCATAGATAGGAACTATGGATTAAATGTAAGAGTTGGCTAGTAACAAGCCTGAGCTATTGGCCCTAATTTATAACTAAGTCTCCCTATCGATTATTTGGGAACTGGTAGGCAGGAAAGAAACGTCCACCATCACAAGACATCTAACATTGTTATTTTGGGGACATGGCAAGAGGCTGAGAGTTTACTACCAAATCTGAGTGGGCCTTCAACAATCTTATGAGACTAGAGAGATAAAACTTAAAATTTGTGGCTACAAATGTAGCCTGGATATCTTTAATTATGGATTCTTTAAAATAGATCCAGAAAGACTTATTTTTTGAGATATATTTATTTGTACTTTATGGATATGGGAATATTGCCTATATGCATAGTGTCCACACAGGCCTGAAGAGGGTGTCAGATGCCCTGGAAGCAGAGTGACAGATGGCTCTGAGCTGCCTCTGGGAAATGAACCTAAGCCCTATGGAAAAGCAGCCAGTGCTTTTAATGACTGAACCATTTCTCTAGATCCAAGAAAGACTTAAACTATCCTAAAACAAAACATGCAGTACAGTTCCAGCAAAAGTGAACAACAGGAAATTTCATAAGAAACACTACATATTACACCACACGATATGACACAATATGGAGAACTCATGTTAAAACAATACAAACAAACAAACAAAAAAACAAGGGAGGGACATTTTTTTTGCAGGGGAGAAGTTGCTTATGAGGAGAAGTTGCTTATGAGAAGCTCATGAGCTAGGCCAGTGCTAAGATGCATATACAAAGTAAGAACCGATATTCAGGAGTCACCAGGAGGAAAGAACTAGATAAGAAACCAAACTCTCAAGTCAGGCTGCAGTGAGGCTGTACTGCAACAGCAGAAATAAACCAGAGGTCAGCAGCAGCTGGTCACAGCCTCCAGACAGCCACCAGTCTTTGTACCTCTTCTAAACATAAAACTACTCGAATGCAGGGCTTCTAAACCCAGACTCAACCAAAACAAGACAGTA